TCATTCTTCTTGATACGGAGGTAAGTCTCTTTTAGGCAAGAAGTCTCAAAAGGTGGTTTGCCCACTAACAAGGTATACCTGTAAGCACAAGGTAGGATTTGGCATAAGTCTCCCAGCCACAACCCAGACATAAGAGGAATCATCTCAAGGTCAGAACAAAGGCCAGGCATCCTCTGGACACTCACTCTAACTCTGGGGCCCCTGAAGACAATCCTCGAGTCCCCTGTGCAGCCCCAGGAGCCATGACATTGGCTAGAAAGAGCCCTCAGCAGAATACATGTGGTAAGACCATGATTCTTAAGGGCCAGTGATTTTCCAGCTATAGCCTGAGGGTATCTAGGACTCTGTGCAAGGGCCTCAGAGGCTGCCTGCCTTGCAAAACACGTCAAAGGGCTACCTGCACTTACAGAAGCAGCTCCACCTTTAGCAGTTCTGTACTTAAGGCTTCAAGTTTTCATTAAAAACAAACCCACCTCAAAGACACATGAAAGCCATCGCTATGACTTATTTCTAACTCTCTAGTACCTATGCCAAAAACAAAGATAATACCTGAAAAGGCCCAAGCCTCTGCCTGCCACCAATCGCAGCTGATGGTCTCAATCCAGAGGGACCACTGGCACCTCATCCTGCCATCTGTAACTCCTGGCCTAATTTCTCCCACCATGCTAATGCTCATCAGTGTTTCTAAGACCTTATTGTGCATGGAAATCACCAAGGGATTTGTTAAAAATCCAGATTCTGATCCAGTAAGTAGTCTGGGCCCTGAGATTCCGCATACAAGTTCCCAGATGATGGTGATGCTGCCCTGTGGACCACTCTAGCAAAGGACTAAAGTAAGGCTGTGAAGACTCTCCCTCCTCCCTCCCCCTCCTCCTCCTCCTCCTCCTCCTCCTCCTCTGTACCCATGGCCTAGGCTGCAGAAATCTGATAGGATACACCAGTGACAGGGAAAGATACAGCAATTAGGCTTCGTTTGGGGGTCACTTGTCCCCTAGAATAGGCTTTCTGTAAAGCAGGCAGAAAGGTCCATAGAAAAGGTCAGCCAAGTAGGATGTCCCAAAGTTGCCCCTGCTGAGACCAGGCAGATCCAAAGACAACTCCCAACTTACATGATACACCCAATGGACCACACATCCACCTCGAAACTGTGCCCTTTCTTGCTCAGCACCTCGGGAGCTATGTAATTAGGAGTCCCGCACAGGGTCTTCTTCCTCTCCCCGTCATACTCGACTTTGGTTGCCAGTCCAAAATCCCCTGGGACAGAGGGAGGAAGAATGGGTACTTAAATGCCAGCCTCTGCCATCTGTCAATGCAGAAAGCTAGTTAAGGTTTGACCATCAAGAAGCAGAGCCATTTGATCCCACAAGCCTCTGCTCCTTGTATGCCGCAAGGCTTGCCCAGAAATCTTCCTGCCATGCTGACCTCAGGGAGGTGCCTCCAGTGACCCTTCACAACCCTACCCCTTAGAAAGGGGCTATGCTTCAAAATGGGAACTGACAGGGACAGCAAAACTCCAGTGCCTTCAAGAATCAAGCAAGTAACCGCCAAGACTTGGCAAGCCTGTGAAGAATAGGGAGGAGTAGAGACCTTGGCAAACATGTCAGAAGGGACAGCTGCTTTCCAGCCCAGCAATGGGCTGCCCTAAGAAAATGCCGCCCTCGTATTACTGGAGCTTTCACCTGTTTAAAAGGAGCTCTGAATCAAAATTTTTATGTCAAGCTTTCCACTTTAAAAAATAGAAACAAACTCAAATTATTTGAAAAAAAGTCCTGTATTGGGGCTATAATGTGTCTTCAGGCAAGATACTGACTTGTGGGCGTTTGTTTTAAATTTCTGGACAAAGGAGAGAATTATAGAAGCAATCAACGCCCAAACTTCTCACCATCCATCCTCTTCCTTCCTCCTGGTCTCCTTCCTATCCTTTCTCCCAGCCTCCTCCAAATTCCAGCCTCTTGTAGGGATGTCAAGCACCCTGCAGGCTCAGCAACTCACCTATTTTCACCTCCAGATCTTCATTCAGGAAAAGGTTACCCAGCTTGAGGTCTCGGTGAATAACTCGGTTTTGGTGCAGGTACTGGCAGCCAAGCACAATCTGCCGCAGATAGTATCTGGCCTCAGGCTCAGTCAGGGCTTTCCTCCTCTTGTGCAGCTCCAGGAGAGACTGTGGGTGGGAAGGAGAGGGCAGGAGGGATGGGAGGGTGGTGCTGAGGCCGGTGGGGAAGGGAGAGGGTTACTACTAGGTAAAGGAAGAACAGGACCTAGACTCCTGGCGGATCAAAGTGGCGTCTTGGTGGGTTTCTCTCCTTTCCTAAGCCCCCACCCCATTCTCCAGGACAATTGCTATCTGGACCCTCCTTTAACACTACTCACAACCATTCGCTGCACCCCTTCCCCTAGCTTCCTCTCTTACTTGGGGGTCCTCTCTCAGCCCCATTCCGGAAGCTCCGAGTGCCCAGCAGCAGATCCCTTTCCTGATTCTTATTTCCCCGGGAAGGACCGAAGTCTGGATTGCAACTACCTCCTTACTGACCAGACCCCACTCCGGAAGCTCCCAGTGCGCGGCTTCACTAACCTTGGGACTCCTCCCTGGGCACTCTAGGGCCCTAGAGTCCATTACCAGCACCCCTCCCCCCAGCGTCCAGAAGCTGACTTCCCGGTCAGCAACCTGACTCAGACTCCACTTCACTGGAACCCACTCTTCTAGCAGTTCCAAGAGGCAAGAAGCCCTTACCAAAGACACTTTCCATACCTAAGCGGGAGGCTCCCAGCACCCTTCTCAACCAGCTCCAAGTCCCAGGCACTCCCTTCCTGGGCACTCTTTCCAGCAGCTGCTCCAGGTCCAGGCTCTCCAACTGCCCCGCAGGCAATTCCAGTTCCCTAGCAGCGACACTCACCCTCCGGCGGCATAGCTCCAACACCACGAACACGAAGTCGTTGTCCTCGAAAAAGCCGTGGAATCCTACGACGTGCTGGTGGGCCAAGCTGCGGTGAATGGATATTTCCATGGACATCTTCTCTTTCTGGTGCGGCTTGAGCAGCAGAGACTTAGGCACAATCTTGCCCGCGAACACCTCCTTGGTGTCCGCGTCCGATATCTCGAAGCACTTGGCAAAGCCGCCCTTGCCCAAAAAGCGGCCCCGTACATAGCGCCGCCGACTGCGTGGGTCCACTAGGATCTCTGGGATCTCTTTCGCTGGTGGGGCCGCCGCTGGAGCTCCGGGAACCCCGGCTTTCCCAGGGTCGGCCGGTGCTCGTGCCAGCTTTCCCGCAGTCACCGCCGCACTCATGCTCTCGGAGCTGCTCTGCCGACCTCGATCCGAGCAGAGGCTCCGCTCCTCCCCGAATTCAAACGCGGCGCTGGGAACGTTACAAAAGCCTGCGCGCTACTGATTGGTCGCGGGGATTTAAAATCCAAACCCGCTCGCCGCGCGGAACCATGGGAGCGCCCTGCCCCGCAGCCGCCTTTAAACCCCGACCCAGCCGGGGAAAACTTGATTGACAGGGACACCCGAACACGTGGGATAGCCTGGGAAACCAAACCCGGCGTGGCTACGGAGACCCGGCCCGAGAAGGGAGGAATTTCTTTAGGGTTTCTCCCTTTCTTGGGCGTCCGGGAAAGCTCCTGCAGTTCACTTGCGCCTCCTCCATTAAGCTTTTCCTTAGACTTTCCTCCACCTCCACCCCACCTAGTATGTAAGCTGAGTAGGGACCTGGCACGCCAATAAAGTAGTTTGGGAGAGCCTTAACACTCGCCTCCGATGCTGTCAGCTCTCAGCCAAGCCACCCCAAATGAATTAAAATTAAGTAAAAGTGTGCTTGCCAAACATACCTTCATGGCCAGTACTGTAGTCCTGCTCCTTCAAATAACTGCTGCTTTTGAGCTCCTCAAGATTATGGAGCAGCGCTGTTTAAAGGAGGGGCCAGGGAACAGCAGCATCCCCATCACCTGAGAGCTTGTTAGAACCACAAAGGCAAATGTTCAGGCCCTACCCTAGATCTCCCGAGTCAGAGTCCGCCTCTCAACAAGACTGCTCAGGTGATTCCTACACATCCTGAAGTTGGAGAAGCACAGTACCAGAGCCCCCCATGATGCAACGAAGCTGTCTGGCCTGCTCGCTGCTGAATTTCCCAGGGCCTAAAATGGAGGACACTGTTTCTTGGTCAAAGGGAGGTAAGGTTGGAAAAATGCCTAACAAACTCGTAGGTCATAGCCAATGTGTCTTGCGGGGTTTTGTTAGGCCTCCTTTTTTTTTTTTTTTTTTTTTTGGAGATGGAGTCTCCCTCTGTCGCCCAGGCTGGATGGAGTTCAGTGGCCGATCGGCTCACTGTAACCTTGGCTTGCTGAAAGCAATCCTCCCACCTCAGCCTCCCAAGTAGCTGTGATTGCAGGAGCCCACCACCAGGCCCGGCTCATTTTTTTTTTTTAGTAGTGACAGTTTCACCATGTTGGCCAGGCTGGTTTCAAACTGCTGACTTCAAGTGACCTGCCCTCCTCGGCCTCCCAAAGTGCTGGGATTACAGGTGTGAGCCACCGCACCCAGCCCTTCTAAAACATTTACAGCATTTAAAAGAAGAGCTCATAAAAATTAGGATATGTGGCTTTTCCTGAAAAAATTACAAGTGCTAGCTACTCTGTGCCTACGTGCTTTCAGTTTGCCCCAGTTACCAGCTATACCCCTTTGTCCATTTGCCTGTCTGGCTTCTAGCTTCTGTAGGTACTTGAGTGGCAACTCTGGAACAGCAAAATACCCAAGTTAGAGGCTCTTTCTCTGTGTCTCTTTAGCACCCTCCAATCCATTAGAGCCCAGCAAAAATCAACCATATTATAAGGATCCTTCACCTGCCTTGCAGCTAAGCCAAAGGACAAAGAGGACAATGATGCTGTCCTTTCCACCTCATGTCCCCAGCTCCCAGAGCAGTGCTTGGTAAAAAAAGGGTACTTACTAAAATGTCAGCTGAATAAAAGGAAGACTTTGAAAAATTATTTTGTACCCCCATGGTGTGAATTATTCTTTTTATTGAAATTTAATACACTTACAGAAAAAAATGTACATATCATAACTGTACATAGAGCTCAGTGAATTTTCACAAACTGAACACATCTGTAAACCACATCCAGATTGAGAAAGAGAACATGACAAACACCGCAAGTCTCCCTTGCGCCCTGTGCTGGAGATGCCAATACCACCTCCTAATCTAATGATGTACTAGGAAATTCACAGACTCAGCCTGTTGTCATACTCATGGCTATGATTTACAACAGCCAAAAGCTAGGAAGCAAAATCAGCAAAGGAAAAAAGTGCATGGGCAAAGTCCAGGGAAACCAGGTGCAAGCCTCCCATGGTCCTCTCCCAGCAGAGTCACACAGGACACAATTCCTCCAGCAATCAATTTTGACACCCATGTGCAATGTGTACCAGGGAAGCTCATTACAGACTGTGTCCAGGGTTCTGGTCACCTCATCCTCTGCCTAACACATTCCAAAATCCCAGACTCCCAGAAGGAAAGCAGATGTTCAGCATAATCCACATTGTTTGTACAAACAGTTTAGGTAGTCCCAATGAGACACTCTTATCATTTAAGTAGTGAGAACCCTCCTGAAATCCAAGCTTTCAATGCCAGCCAATGGCCAGCCTTGCAAACAGGCCTAAGGACAGCAGACACAGGCCTGCTTTCTCATCCTTTTCACATAGTCCATCTCCTTATTGAGGCTTCTTTACAGCAAAATTATTATCAGTAGGACCCCCATGCAAAAGGATGAGAACAACCTGAAGCATGGACCTCAGTTCTTCCTGGTAGGGTTCTTGGATGTAACCAGTTAAACTAAATCCCATTAACCATAAAGCCTATCTTAGAAAGCCAGGTGGCTTCCTCCTTAATTCGTTTTTCTTTTTTTGACATGGAGTCTTGCTCTGTCGCAGGCTGGAATGCAATGGCGTGATCTTGGCTCACTGCAACCTCCGCCTCCTGGGTTCAAGTCATTCTCCTGCCTCAGCCTCCCAAGTAGCTGGGACTACAAGTGCGTGCCACCACACCCAGCTAATTTTTTTATTTTCATATTCTTACTAGAGACGGGGTTTCACCATGTTGGTCAGGCTGGTCTCAAACTCCTGACCTCAGGTGATCTGCCCGCCTCAGCCTTCCAAAGTGCTGGGATTACATGTGTGAGCCACCATGCCCGGCCCTTAATTGCTGTCTGAACCTTTTTTTTTTCTTAACCTGACCTGAGGCATCAATTCAGGCACAGTACAACTCTGGCCAGTAAGCTGAAGCTAACCCACATGCTTTCCAAGGCTGAGGGGAAATCATGAGAGTTATGGTCATGGACAGAAGCACAGTCCCAGGGGCATAGGTGGTACCCCTAGAAACAAAGAACTTACAACATTAGGACACCCCAAGCAGGACATCCATTAGTCAGACCATACAGGTGAACGGGCCTCCCACCAGAGGAACTCCTGCCCTAGTGTTTCTAGTCCCATCTGAAAAGTTCCTGGAGTCCTTGGCTTCTAAGGGACTGCCTGAAGGCAGTGAGTCCCAAACAGTTTTGCTTGTTCAGGACACAAGTTGATTCATCTCATAAGCGTGGATGACATTTGAAGATCTTCATGTAAAGCGTGGGAGCTGGACCCACTCTGTTGACAGTAGGAACTCAAAGCACATGGAAAGGCAGTACTGGGAATTTTCCTTCAGCAAGAGGCTTCCAGGGATCAAGCCTCCCCAGGGGCCAGGCTTTCTTTTCTCCATCATTACCAAAACAATCATGCCCTGTTCAGCAATCATAACTTTACTTTTTTTTTTTTTCTTTTTTAGACAGAGTATTGCTCTGTCACCCAGGTTGGAGTGCAGTGGCACAATCTTGGCTCACTGCAACCTCTACTTCCCAGGTTCAAGCAATTCTGCCTCAGCCTCCTGAGTAGCTGAGATTACAGGTGCACACCACCACACCCGGGTAATTTTTGTATTTTTAGTAGAGAGGGGGTTTCACCATATTGGCCAGGCTGGTCTCAAACTCCTGACCTCGTGATCCGCCCACTTCAACCTCCCAAAGTGCTAGGATTATAGGCATGAGCCGCTGAACTCAGCCATAACGTAACGTTTTTTCAACCATCTCTTAATCTCAGCCAGGCCTTTCCTCTGAAAGGGTTGTATGTAAGAGGCACAAAAGCATTTCTGTAGATAAACATTTTTTTTTTTTTTTTGAGACCAGGTCTGGCTCTGTTGCCCAGGTTAGAGTGTAGTGGCACGATTTTGGCTCACTGCAACCTCCACCTCCTGGGCTCAAGCCATCCTCCTACCTCAGCCTCCTAAGTAGCTGGGACTACAGGTACATGCCATCACACCCAGCTAATTTTTGTACTTTTTGTAGACACAGGATTTCGCCATGTTGCCCAAGCTGGTCTTGAATTCCTGAGCTCAAGCAATCCGACCACCTCGGCCTCCCAAAGTGCTGGGATCATATGTGTCCATCACTTGCGCCTGGCCAACTTTTTTTTTTTTTTTTTTACCATCATCCTAGAGTTCAAGTAGATAAATGTTTTTATGCAACTTAACTAGAAAGACACATTCAGAAATTAGTAATAAGATGTTGAGGGTTGAACTATGTCCTTACAAAAATTCATGCTAAGTCCTAACCACCTGTACCTCAGAATGTGAGTACATTTGAAGATAGGCCCTAAAGAAGTAACTAAGGTAAAATGGGATTGTTACGATGGGTTCTAATCCAATGTGACTGGTATCCTTATTGAAAGAAGAGATTAGGACACAGATACACAGAGGGACCATGTGAGGACGCAGTAAGAAGACAGCCATCTGCAAGTCAAGCAGAGACGTCTCGGAAGAAACCAAACCTGTCGACACCTTGTCTTGGACTTTTTAGCCTCCAGAACTATAGGAAAATAAGTTTCTATTGTGTAAGCCATTCAGTTTATGGTACTTTATGGTATCCTTAGCAAACTAATAAAGGATGAAACCCTGAATTTTTAAAAATTTCAAAATGTGTTTACATAATCTACCCCTTTTGTCCTGATTATTCAATGAGCAGCCTAGAAAAGTCTAATACCTTTCTGGGGACAGCTACATTTTAATAATCCACCTACTTTACTAAGCTGTGTGTGCTGGGAGAAAAGTGAGGGAAGTAGAGTCAGGCTGTCCGTCCACTGCTGCAATTGCAACTAATCCCAAAAGCTGAATGCAACAAGTGAACAGCAATGAGAGAAGCCCCAGAGAAGGTTTGAGTCTGGTCTGTCAAAAGCAGGAGAGGTTACAGTCCTTGTGATATGCCCTTCTCCAGCTTGCAGCTTTTGGCAAAGATCAGAAGTTAGGAATGCAATTAGCCTGTATTAGAGACAAACAGCCTATCAGCAGCTTGATCTTAGATGGTCCCATTAAAGAATAAGCCCTTTTCAGTCACGTTCCAGGACGGTTTCCTAGTTTAGTGTATCACAGAGGGGGTCCTTAATCTCCAACGGCCCCAACGTCTGAGTCCTGGCCATTAAGCCTGTGTCTGCTTTCAACTGAGCATAGCTTATGTTGGTTGAGGCTGAAACAGCTCATGGCAGACAGTAGCAGGTTTCAGTTTAGAGTCAGGACAGGCAATTAGGATCTGTGAATTTGAGATTCCAACAAGCCAGCTGCTTTTCTTCAGCAGCAGTGAAGGCATGCTGTGTGGCCAGACAGCTGTGATCCAAGTCCAAGTGACATGCAAGGCTGCCTTTTTATGTTCTTGGTCTTAGAGTCCAACTGACCCACTCAAAAAACACTTATTAGACAACCATCAGCTTCTAAGGGTAGAGATTTGATTTTGGCAAGGGCTCATTAGCAATTTAACTATATTTTCATATTCCAAACAGAGATTGCTTCTCTTTCCATGTTGTCTTCCTCTTTCCAGAGGCTCCAGTAGGCACCAATCACAGCAAAAATCATCAGTTACATAATTGTTCTGGTTCCAGTTTCTGAAGAAATTAAATTCCAACCTATCCACTAGTGGCAAAAAACTAGTAAGCTGTACCCCACTAACACCTTTCATATTTTATTTTTGAGTAGCTTTATTTGATTGGGGTGATCCCTCTAGCATTTATGAAATTAACAAGCATAAAACTTTTTTTTTTTAAGAGATGAGTAGCTGCGACTACAGACGCATGCCACTGTGCCCAGCTAAGGTATGGTTTTTAAGCAATTAAATCAACCAATAAAAACAGAATAGTTTTCATTCATACACTCAAGGCCTGCTGAGCACCCACTGCATGTATGTTTTACTTGTTTGATTAGAAATGTTTACTAAAAAACAGCAGAGCACAATGACTTATGCTTGTAATCCCAGCACTTTGGGAGGCCAAGATGGCTTGAGCCCAGGAGTTCAAGACTAGTCTCGGCAACATGGTAAACCCGGTCTCTATTTAAAAAATAAACAAATGAAACTGTCTACTTAAAAATTAGCTGTGTGAAAAACTGATATATATAAAATAAAAAATAAACAAAAGAAAGTTAAAAAAATGATATATTGAAGAAAATGCACCTAATTCTCTTATCTCCTTTCATAGCTGTTTCCATGTTCTCATATTCCCTTGTAGTCCTTGTCAACATGGAATCTGTTTTATACAGTTGCAATTACAGCCCGTGAATACAATATATTTGTATGTTATCAGTAACAATAATACTAACAAGTGAACCCTTGTTGAGCATTTACTATGTGCAAGGCACAGGGCTAGGAGTTTTACAAAGATGATCTCGTTTACCTTGGGTTACTTACCCAAGGTTTATAGCTAACAGGTGGCAAAACTAGAATTCCAACCCAAGTCTTGGGCGTTGTCTGGCAAGCCCTAAATCCCAGACTCATTTGTTCACTTGCTTGCTTACTCCATAACAAAATGAAGTATGATCTATCAGTTAAACTCACAGACTAAAGAACTCCTCCCTCACTAGCTGTATGACCTTGGGAAAGTACTTAACCTCTCTGTACCTCAATTTCCATGTCTATAAAATGGGGATAAAGTGCCCACTACAGTGCCCATTTCCTAGGATTCTATTCAGGAGATGACGTGCCTATTTCCTAAGGTTCTTGTAAAGAGATTCTGCAAGGACAGCACTCCAAATAGTACAGGCATATGGTTTTGACAGTTGTGGTTGTTGTTATTGAAATAAGAAGAACCTGCACCAGTTCTCAGAAGCTTAGGGTCTCTGACAGGCCTTTCCAATGCCTGGGGCTCTCTATTTCCTCATTCTCCTTGACTCCTCTGACCCTACTCTTCCTTAGGCTCTTACCGCTCCTGTGGGAAATCAGAAAGAGCAGCCAGCAGACACCACCAATTGAGATGAATGCAGCTGAAAAGGCACAGGTCGGTACAGCCAAGAAACACCACGGGCTAATGTTCAGACCCATGGTCTGAAAGCCAGAAAGGGTGTGAATTTCACTCCTGTGTCTCTTTTCTTGGATGATTTTCATCTGCATGACCCATTGGCCCAATGCCCAGTGGATATGAAGATACAGAAAAGTCCAGGTACTGTTTTCAGGAAAGCAAGATGTCCTGTGTCAGTTCTTCTCACTTCAGGGTCCAAGTCAGAGTACACATGGAAAGCAGGTGGGGCCAGCTCGCCAGCAAAAACTTCAGGAGAGCAAGGGATTGTGTTCAGAGCCAGCTGCCTTGGAGGCCAAGATATAGGAGGAGCTGCATAAAACATGGACTTTGCAGCCAAGTAAGAGCTTGTCTTGATTATAGCTCATCCATTTATTAGATGTGTGACTATGGGGCAAATTTACTTAACCTCCCTGAACAGCAGTTTCCTCCGCTGTAATACAGGCTGTGAAAATCCCTTTTTTGACAGCTGGGAGGATTAAATGTTTGTACCTCATAGATACAAAACAAGGAAGGGTGATTTCTCCATCTCTTCTTTGTGGTGGACTGATTATAAAGGCCAAGATGTTTTTATTTAAAATTTTTAAAACATGTAAGAATGCTATGCCTTATACTCTCAAGGGGTTTTGCTCAAGGTGCATCACTTCCTAATAAAAGTAAGTATAACTACCATTTATTGAGTGCTGACCTTGAGCCAGTACTTATGTTTTACATGTATTAATGCATTTCAATCCTCATAATAACCTTATCCAACCTCCCCGTTTTATGTATGAGAAACCTGAGGTTCCATGAAGATAACTTGCTCAAAGTCACAAGGCTAGGCAATAGCAGGCTGGGATCTGATCAGCCTAACTAGCACTCACTCCTCACCACTGATGGCTCTCAAAATGGGCCCCTCTGACCCTCTTCTAAGAACTCTGTATTTTGTTTGATTCCTTGGCTTTCTCCCTCACTAAGCAGTGAGATAACTAGGGACAAGAACTGGCTCCCATCTTAATGTCCACTGAATCCCCAGGACCTAGGAAGTGCTTAGTGCTCAGTAGTGGCTCAGAAAGCATCTGTTAAATGAGTGAGTGATGGTGCTCTTTTCTCTGTGCAGCATATGGTGGGGGGCCCACCTTCTTACCCCTAAATGGCAGCAAACATATATTCTACAAAAAGCACAACCCCATTGCTGGGGGCCTCTAGAAGTGTTTCAGTTATCATGTTCTTATGGGAACTATAGAATTTGGCACGACATTTTGCTGAGACCAGTTCTGAAAACACCAGGCCTTTGGATACGCTGTCCCAACACTGGCAGTATCATTTCAGGGACCCTACAGCTCCACAGAAGCTAACCCCCAGGAGAGCAGCCAGCTGAATTTGACTACCTACAGTAACCATCTAGGTTGTCAGATGCCAATGTTTTTCAGGAGAATAGCTGAGGCCAGACAGAAAGTGGCTGGGAAGCACCCTCTGGGCTCTCACTGGACAGAACAGGATACAGAGAAAGGACTCCCTAGCCACCAAGACCTCTTCTTCATAGCTGAGAAACTTCCAAGGACATGTTAACTAGGAACAATGTCTGTCTGATTAATTTCAAGTCTGCCAGCACTCACATGGGTCAGTGACTAAGAAAGGAACTGTGGCCTCAGATCCCGAGGGAACTGATTCATTCAGAAGCGACTAATACAGAAGCCACCACCAACCCCAAACAACCATAAGGGCTCTGTGCAGCCATGTAAAACAGAATCAGTCAATGGGAGGCTCACAAGACAATCATTTACCTTTGTTCCCTGCACCAGGGATCCTGTAACATGAGACTTATCTGAAGCTGGAGTAGGGTCTGAGGCATGCTGGCGGGGTGTGTGAGGGTGGGAGGTGGGGGTGGTCACATTCAGTCACTCTATTAAGGATGTGTTAGATGACCCACAGACTCAAGCCTGACTCCTCAGGAGCTCACAGCTTGTGAGGGCTCAGACAAGAACATAGGTGCATAACTAAAACTCTATTGACAAGGGCCCCTCTGTAAGGTGCTATGGGGGACCATAAGGAAGCAGTTCCATGGCCCAGTCAGCTCATCAGGGGAAAAAATAAAAAGGAAGCAGTTCCAGACAGAAGACCAACTCCAAATGGTTCTTTATTGAACACCCACTTTGGCTAGGCAACATCCTCCCTCTGCCTGTAATCCAGGCTCAGGCAACCCCACAGAGTATCCTCAGAAGGTACCTCCCAAGACCAGGAGTAATGAGAGACTAGCCAGAGGGTAAGGGACAGCAGGGAGAGGGAGGAAAGTGAAGATACCAGAAAAAGAGGAGAGGCCTGAACTAGACAGCTAATGCTTTTTCCTGCCCAGCACCCATTCATCCCTTCTTCAGGTAATATCCGCCACCACAACCACCAGCAGCAACTCTCAGTCTCTGTGGGTACATGCCAGGCCTGTCCACTTGGCGTATTCCATCTTCCTGGCCACAATGATGCCTTAAGGCTGGATACCTTTCTCACCTGGGCCAATGAAAACCAAATCCAGCAGTTGTCAGCAAAGGGGAGCTCTTTTTATCAATAACTGGTGCTGTGGGGCCACACCGTAAAGCCCGAGAATAAAGCCGACTCAAATGAAAGCAGAGCTGAGAGCCAAAGAGACAGATCCCTGTTTGGAGTCCTGGGATGCAGCCTGAAGCTCAATCTAGCTCAACCTTTCCAGCTACATGAGCCATTAAATTCCCTCTGCCCCAAGTAAACTCGAAAGAGTCCCAGTCAAGGTCCTTCCCCTCTGGTTGTTCTTCTGCAAGCATTCTGAGGACAAGATTTTCTTCTCTAGGCTTACAAAAGTGATTGTGTGGTGACAGACTGTTCCTAGGTCCCTGGGGTGAGAACCACCATGGAGACAGACTCCAGCTGGCCTTTCCTAGGATACACACTCACAACTGTCAACACATCTTCGAATACATCAGCAACATAATTATAAACTCCTATTGTTTGTAGTAGCTATTGTTTTTGTCTTTCCAGCACCATATTTTGGATGGAGAAAAGGTCATGACCCAGACTGGATTAATCATGTGGCCAAACATGCATGGCCACAGAGACTGCTCCAAGAGGACACAGGACTAACAAACCACTGAGAACTTTGTGAGTTTCCAAATTAGAACTGGAAAAGAAGAAACTTTTCATTCAGGGCCCCCAAGATGGAAGGATACAGGTCTGGAGCTGTCAGCTGTCATGGCCCCAAATACACAGAGAAGGCTCATGTGCAACAGGAGGAAAGGAAGCCAACACAGAGGCCTGGTTGTGTCTGCTTATTGTCTCCCAATGGCCATTCTTCCCCCACTCCCTTACTAGCACAATCTCCTTTCAGAGTTTTGGCTGCCCAAGTAGAAACCATATTTACAGCCTACCTTGTTGTTAACTGTGGACACATGCCAAGACAGTAGGAACCTGGGTGCCTGATGATATCATGGACCAGCCACTTGCCTGGCCTGGACCGGCTGACTATCTCTGCACTGTTAGGGGAGAGAGAAATAAACTTCCATCTTCTCTGAGTTATGTATTTATTTTAAAAAATGACAAACTAGAAAGTTATAAAAAAAAATGACAAACTAGAAAGGAGTTCTAGATGGAACTAGTGGAAATGATTATATACAGCTGTTTTGTTTCACAAACCCCACAACTGGATATTAAGTCAGGATAGCTCCTGCTAAATTCTAACCTACAAGGCTGAACTGTTCTGCCCTACTCACTTACAGATCAGAGTATTAACTAAAGCCAACCTTCTCAGGCCCTTACCTCTAAATCTTCCTTCTAAGCTACGAGGTCAGAGCAGTACCAGGAAGGGTGTGCTACTGGCCAGAAGGAGATAGTAAGAACAACCCTAGCAACTTCATTTACTCCCAGGGCTCTGTGCCCACAAACTGATTTTAAGAGCCCTTCATCTTTATATGCGAATGGGCTCTAAGTACAGACATTTTCGTGTAAATTATAGAGTTTTGACAAATACAGGGTAGGCTGAATGGTTCTAGGCCAGGGAGCAAGAGTTCGCAAATGCAGTGTCTTCAGTGAAATAAGTACCTTGTGGCAAGAAGTAACCACCTGACTAATGTATCCACATGAGAGACTTATATCTAACACCTGGCAAAAGTACAGTCTGGGATGCTGAGGTCCCCACTTTTAGTGAAAGCCAAAGGCCCTAGGTCAAAATGCTAAAAAGTCTTTTACTAACTACCCTAGGACAGCTAAGGTCATTTTGGGAAGAAGAGAGAGAAACACTAATCACCCCTCCCTTCAAGTTTTAATAGCCAACAGGAATCTGGGCTCTGAAAAGTCACAAACACCTTTTCCCAGGATTATGAGCAATTGCAACAACTGGCCAATTGTTAGCAGAAGAAAAGCTGGGCATTACCTGTGTGAGAGGCACTCAGCATGGGCAGCGTATGGCTGTGAGCAGCACATGAGCTATATGACCTCCACACCATAAGGGTGCTGCTGCTCTGCAGGTCCATTTCAGGCGGGATCCAGCCATTCACAGGACCAAGGGGCTGGAGTGTTGGGAACAGATGATTCTGTGTTCCTCAGATAATGGTACAAAGTGACTGTTCATAGATAAGGTGTAAGCATAGCATGTGAAGATAACTCCTGCAGATGGTCTATTAGTAAATTCTTAAGAGCTTAGAGCCTTGAGGATTGAGAAATTCTCAAGACATTTTTTAAAAGAAGGAGGAGTAGATGTTGAAGACATAAGAGCTCTTCCTAGGTGTTGACTGGCTCACTTTGTCCCCGAATTCATTTTAGAGCTCAAGCAAATTCAAGATATGAGGCAGAGATGCTAGACTTGTGTCAGGGGCAAAAACTTCTGGTAGTAGCTCTTGGTGACGTCAATCATCAGCTCCTGAGTACACTCCGGGAGCTCCCCTGAGAAGAGTCCTAGGGAAAAAAAGACCCAGCTCTAAGGAGCTCGAAGAAGTTACAAGAGATTAAGATATTTCTCTGGCAATATCTTTCTCACCTTGTTCAGATGCACATCTGACAATTACTTAAACAATTGCTGGGGCTGTTCTGGTCCAGCGCTTGCTAAGAACAGCCAAATTTTTTCACAGCAGGACCCCAGTATGGAGAAATTACTATACAAAAGTCTCTCCTTCCTCCTTTACAAAAGCAGAGATGCATGACATGGCAGAATGTCCAAATGCCTCCCCAAAGAATCTAAGTGATGATTTTGTTCATCTTAGAAAACTCAGATTCAATGATTTGAGAGATGAGATTTATTTTTTAACTGGAAAAACAATTTAACCACCCAGTGGTAGGTATCATGTACTGTCAAATCTCTCCATTCATATCATTTTCCATCTGCGAATTTATGACGTGCCTCTGTATATGCGACATGATTTCAGCTGTGTAAAACAATATGGAGAAGATGATACTGTCTTGGGGTAGGGCTAAGGGAATACGAAATTTTCTTCTTCCTTCTGCTTTTCAGTGTTTTCCAAGTTTTCTGAAACAAGCATGTTTCACTTTCGTTTCCTCACATGTTTTATAATTTGGAACTCCAAGTTCCTGATTGGCTTTACCTGTGACCATTCTATCAGTCAAGGTCCAGAGATAATGTATTAATATTCACCCCTCTCAGGTATCCCCAAGCTATCGCTGAGCCATGTGAGATGCATAAATTAAACCCATAACCAATGTGAGGGTAACCCCATTGTTAAACTTCTCTAGACAGACTTTTTCCACCCAGAGCCCAGGCAAAACGAGAAATGCTTTCTTGTGCATTCCCTGTGTTGGTGGCAGATTGGTTCTACATCAACTTTTCCTTGAGAGGGAATCCTTTAAGATTATGTGAGGATCTCTCTGCCACGTGTGAATCCAAGGCTTTATTTCTACCCCAACATGACTATCATCCCTTAAACCAACAGCATTAAGCCGTGCAATCTTACAGCTTAGATTTAGTTTCCTCTTTGTGTTTGGCCCTTCATAATTTCCTTATTTTCTGATGAATCCAATTATGCATTTAAACAAATGCTTGCTATATGTTAGGTTGCATTTCTAGGTACTTTGTACAGGTGAATTTCTAAGTTAACTCTATCAACATATTGCCAGAGGTAAGAACTGTATGCACTCCTTTATGATGGAAAATACAACTGAGTTTTAGGAAGTTAAAAATAATGAACACCCAAGGTTACCTGGGCAGCCTGAGAAGACAGTGAATGGTGGGACCACAGTTTCTGGAGGTAATACTGTGTTGTCAAGAATTTTGCAGCAGTCTTTCAACACACATCGGCGTCCCTGAAATTAAAAGCTTGTTAATAGGAAATAGATCAGGAAATGGGAGTAAAAGTTGTCTTGCCTGCTATGTGAAAGTCTCCTTTCTATTTTCCCCATTCGTTATATCATGTAATAGCCAAGGGCAGTGACAAGAGGCTTGGTTGAAATTTCCTGCTTCAGGTGGTACCTGACAAGAAGGAGACAGCAAGGTTGTGAGAGTTTGTGTTTGTGTACATTTGCGGAAGAAGGCAGGATGCTAGAGACAGGACAATGTCTCGGGCATTACAGACTGTGAATTTCAGACTTCCATGATCTCTGTTTAATTTTCTCTGTGTTTTAGTGGACATCTATGCTTCTGCTTGTCCAGCATCCATTTCCCTTTCTTCTGGTAACAGAACCTGTGTTTTCCTTGGTAACCCCCCAGTCCACATCTCATCCATGTGCTTTACCCCCCAGCCCACACACCAAACCCCAACCCTGAACACAACGAAAGGTGTAGGCAATCAGCATATTACCCCAGTTAGTCTGATGGACCTCAACTTTAGGGCTTCTGCTGGGACTGCTGGGGAAAGCAGTACTTCCCACTGGGGTTTCTAGAGGATAGGCTGGAAAGCTGGAATAGGCATTCTGTTTCCATGAAGGAAGAACCTGCCTGAGAGTAAACCTCCCAGAGGAAAGCAGCACAGAGATGGAGACTAATTCTCACAACATAGACTGAACCCTGGAGCCATTTGGCCACAACATTAAGATCTACTCCTGTACTCTTAGTTTATATTCACCACCCATTCCACTCTGTACCCACCAGCTTAAGGTTGGTTGGTTTGCTCCTTTGTAAATTCAAACTGGAAAAATCCTGACAAATTCATTTGGATATGAAACTATTAGTTCAATTGTTCTCCCACAGGTGAGTGATAGTCATGTGAATGTTTGAACCTCAATCTTGACTTTAACCGCTGTCACCACTTTCCTTTTTTTTTTTTTTTGAGACGGAGTTTCGCTCTTGTTACCCAGACTGGAGTGCAATGGCATGATCTCGGCTCACCACAACCTCCGCCTCCTGGGTTCCGGCAATTCTCCTGCCTCAGCCTCCCGAGTAGCTGGGATTACAGGCACATGCCACCATGCCCAGCTAATTTTTTATATTTTTAGTAGAGATGGGGTTTCACCATGTTGACCTGGATGGTCTCGATCTCTTGACCTTGTGATCCACCCGCCTTGGCCTCCCAGAGTGCTGGGATTACAGGCTTGAGCCACTACGCCTGACCACCACTTTTCAACTCTGCCATGATCCACAACATTTAGAGAGCAAGAAGTAAGGTCTGAGAGACTCATCTTTTATGGGTTAAGGGAAAAGTGGGGCTTCTGTGTACAGTTTACAGCTGTACCTCAGGACTCCTTGCTGATGAAATGAAAGTTTTGGTCATTTTTTATTGCATTTACATCAGGGCCTGTTAGTTTTCTGGTACCCTGGTTAGACAATCAAAAAATATACTGGCCGGGTGCGGTGGCTCAAGCCTATAATCCCAGCACTTTGGTAGGCCGAGGCGGGTGGTTCACAAGGTCAAGAGATCGAGACCATCCTGGTCAACATGGTGAAACCCCGTCTCTATTACAAATACAAAAAATTAGCTGGGCATGGTGGCACGTGCCTGTAATTCCAGCTACTCAGGAGGCTGAGGCAGGAGAATTGCCTGAACCCAGGAGGTGGAGGTTGCGGTGAGCAGAGATCGCGCCATTGCACTCCAGCCTGGGTAACAAGAGCAAAACTCCAACTCAAAAAAAAAAATATATATATATATATATGCCTAACCGAGAATGTGGAAACCTTTACAAATACCAGGACAATGCTAACCTGCCCAGACCTCAGCTTTTAGCAAAGAATATGAAAGACCTTTGATTTGGTTGTGTTTAAATTTTTCCCTACTATTAAACACTTAAATCATATGTTTTTTCAAGAAAAGGTAGATTGCTAAATAAACTTCTTATGAAAGCATGTTCCTCCAAGCTCTGAATTTCCCAAGTGGCTGATCTCTCTCCAGCTGGGTGGAAAACAGCCCTGATAATACTTGGCAACATCTTTGGCTCAAAAGCATATTACATCTATTTGGATTATTCATTCTTCATTCCTCTTTGGAAAGTTATCTTCCATGGGTTACCTGCTAGTGGCAATTTAAAAAATATAGCAACTAACTATCTGCCCTGGTGACCTCAAATGAACATAATCCCAAAGAATTCCTGTCATGCCTAAGCCCCTACTAGTAAATACTAACTCAGACTAAGTTCATGAGGCACAGAGTAAAAGAGCACCCAACATGCTGCATAAGGCATGATATAGTCCCATGGAAGGATCCACAGACAAAGGGCCCTAGAAAAGACCAGTTGACAGAATATTTTCACTGTGTACACCAGCCACCATGCAGCCTGGTACCTGCTCTGTCCACTGGTTGGCCATTTTGCCCACTTAGAGAAATGATGCTTAGCTGGGTTTCAGAAGCTGTCTGGATAGACTGATCAATCAAATTAAACATTTTAAATGTAGGTATTTCTTAGGCATGAAATGTACTGATAATAGCTGAGGAGATAAAAGCTGAGACCACTTCTTCTTCTTTTTTTTTTTTTTTGTGACAAAGTCTCACTCTGTTGCCCAGGCTGGAGTGCAGTCTTACTCTGTTGCCCAGGCTGGAGTGCAGTGGGATGATCTCTGCTCAATGCAACCTCCACCTCCTCAGTTGGGTTAAATCAACTGATTCCTAGGCTCCAATGGATCAGGGTCCTAAAAATTCTGCTGAGCAAGGGGCCTACTTGCACCCTGAATTACTTGCAGATGGGTTTAAATCCCAGTCTATCGCTTTCTAGCCCTTATAAAATCCCTTAATTTTTGTTTTTTTAAGAGATAGGGTCTTGCTTTGTTGCCCAGGCTGGTCTTAAATTCCTGGGCTCAATGGATTTCCTGCCTTGTCCTCCCAAAGTGCTGGGATTACAGGCAACAACCATCACATCTGGCCCCAAATCCTTTAATATTTAAGCTCCTCAATCTTTGTATCTGTAAACAGGGATAACACCTGACACCCTTGAATTGTTGCAAGGATTAAATAAAATCATCAAAAGAAAGAGTTTAACATCATAGAGTAGAGGCTTGACAAAGGCTTGCCAATATTAATGTCTAGAAAATATGCCAAATCCTTTTTTTTTTTTTGGAGTCAGTGTCTTGCTTTGTCACCCAGGCTGGAGGGCAGTGGTGCAATCTTGGCTCATTGCAAACTCCGCCTCCTGGGTTGAAAACATTCTCCTGCCTCACCCTCCTGAGTAGATGGGACTACAGGAATCTGCCACCATGCCCAGCTAAGTTTTGTATTTTTGTTGTGACAGGGTTTTGCCATGTTGGCCACACTGGCCTCAAACTCTTGACCTCAAGTGATCCACTGGCCTTGACCTTTCAAAGAACTGGGATCACAGGCATGAGCCACTGCGCCTGCTTGAAAAAAATTCCAAATCTGTCAAGAAAAACCAACTTTGGGAAGACTGGAAACTATTGCTACCCTGCTTGGTCACAGAAAGAGTCCCACTGATGTGAGGGATGGGAGCTGGAGGGAAGGTGAGGCTGCTTCAACAGCAAGTCATCATACTCACAATCACACAGTTCTTGCCAACATGAACGTAGGAACCAATCTGAGCTGCATTGACCACACAATCTTCCTCAATAAAGACATGGTCCCCAATATGTAAAGGAAAGAATGCAACACTAGAGGAGGAAAAGAAGATGAACAAAAAAAAGGTCAAGGTGATGTACTTTGGATCAAGGTTTATAGAACTACAGATCATAATCTGAACTTTAGCATGTTAAGACTGTTCCCAGCAAGGAAAGAAACCTCTACCATGTTGAAGAAAATGAATGTGATTACTAGCTCAAAACTGAAATATTACGCCAAAGAAATATGCAAGGAAAAAGCAAGGCAGGAGGAGCAAGATCTTCAAAGCTAAAAGAACAGGTACCAAATAAAAATCAATGAATGTTCATTCCCACTTCCTTTGAAAATGGTCACAGATCACATTTTTAGTAACCTGCCCTATAACGTTCCTGGCGATTGACTTTAGGTTCATGAGTTATAACTTACACATTCAGCATTCTAAAAATTTATTCATTCACAGATTTCACTGAGAGCATACTATGTGCCAGACTCAATCCTAGAAATTAGGGATATAAAAGTGACAAAAGAGACACAACCCTGTCCATGGGCAGCTTACAGTCAAGAAAAGAAATGAGATTAAACAATGAGTACTGACAATTATGATAAGGGCTACAGAAACATAATATTAAGTTATGAGCATATATAACAGGGAGACCTTTCCTAGTCCATGGCTTTAGGAAAAACTTAATTGACTTTGAGTAGGAGTAGGCAGGCTTTCCCCAGACATCTGACATCATTCCCATCCCATTCTCTAGGGTTCCTCAAATGTCACTGATAGCAGTTCTGTGATCACATTCATATGTAGTTGCTATACCTTGGGATGTAAAATATTTGGACTGGAATGAATATAAAGAGCTAGATGTTCATTAGCTCCTTTCAATTTTGTTCTATTCTGTCTGGAATATTTTTTCAGAGATAATACCTGTCCTCTATGAACCTATAATTTATTTAAATCTTCCTTAATTAGTATTTTTGGCCCATTTGTATTTTGGTCCATTAGTATTTTTGGTCTGTTCCTCTTGTGCGGCAATGCATTCTTTGATCTCATCACCATCTGTAGCAGTACTGACAGTTCTTTAATTTTAATTTTAAATTAAAAATTTCAAGTTTGATACCCCTGTGACAGGTATATCACATCATATAGTAGCTGTCACATGTCACTATCTGATTAATTGTTTCTACCACTAGACTTTGAGGCAGGAACCTTGAGGCAGGAACTCTATTTTATCTATTTTTATATATTCTCAGCTTACAACCCAGTTGTGGGCATGAGGTAGGTACTCAATAAATGCTTGCTGACTTATTGGTTGAAATACAGATGGGTGACAGGAGGGCAATTAGCCAAGGAGGATAGTGGTAAAGAGGCAAAAAGAATACTTTAGCACCATATCAGCTATGGTGGTCAGTTTGCCTGCTCTGTCCATGGCCTTTCTCCCACTGAAGTCATTACTCCCACTGAAGGATCAGTGGACCTAACTTGATTTAGCCCTCTGAGTCAAAGCCGTTCAGATCAGGGATGCTTAAGGTGAGCCAATCAGATTCTTGCTCTCAGAAGTTTAGAAATAAGACGTAAGAACTCTGGTTGGTGTCTGCTGGAAGCCTAAATGGAGAAATGATATAAATTCAGGCTGAGTCAGCAAGGTAGACTCCATGAACAAATGGGGCAGGTATCTGAGAGAGAAAAGGGAAGTAGAAATGCAGAAAGAAGGGCAGTATAGAAGAAAAAATGCAATCTCTGATACATAGAGGTGTACGTAGACAAAGCAGTCTTGATTCCGGCTAGCTGTCCAATTTCAGGTTCCGGTCCTTTGTGAGGCCTGGCTTCCTCCTTTTCCTACTCTTAGATCCCATTATATATGCCAATCTGTTTGATCAGAAACCCTTTGCTTTTGCCAGAGGATAAGTAGATTCTGTTTGTGGCAACCAATCATCAACCAGACTGGGAAAATCACCAGCAGAGTTGCGTTCATTATGGTAAACTCTTACTCAGTGCTTCAAACAACGGGACAGACCTACTCATTACACCACAACTCAACACATGGACCACACCACCAGTGGCAGCTTCTTGCCCAAGACCTAAACAAAGTAAGTAATTAAATTACATACCCTTTGCTGAATTTCTTGAATGGTGGCCTTATGACACTACGACTTTTCACAACACAATGGCGCCCAACTCTTACATTTGCCAGATCCCCTCGGATAATACAGTCATTCATCACAATGGTCTGTCAGACAAAGCAATTTTTAAAAATTAGCAACACAGCCTAAGAAGTAACAAAAAAGAACAGATTAACAAGATACTGATTCTGGCAGAACTTTGACAGAACATTTCAAATGTTCCGCCAAAAAGAATAACTGTAAGGTAAAAAAGAAAACTGCCCTCATGACAGTGATGCAGTTAGCGATGCTCCTAGTACATCACAAGCTTGCCCCTTAATCCTCTATGAATAGGACTCATTGAATGAGCACTTACTGAGAACACCTATAGCAAATATGGCTTATGTGTCTCTTTAGATTCACTCAGGTCCTCGTGCCCCGAAGCCTTGGCTGCTTGCTTACCAAGAGTTTTGGCTGCTCTACCTTTGTAGATAGTAGTTAGAATACCACCTCCAACTCCATGTTCCCAGAGGTGGACCCACTGGAGTTCTAGTTCATCTCCCAACCTCTGAATTCAGATTAAGTGCTACACTGCAGAGTGTAAGATGTGGCTTCCCCAGAAGTTGCCCAGAGAGGCTGAGTAACACAACCCATATGTCTGGGAGAATTAATGCCTTATACTTGTGTAGGCACCCTTAAAATGTCTGCTGAATAAATGAATGAGGTTAAAAAGTGCATATGCTGGAGTTATAGCTGGAAAAAGTAAGCAAGGGACATGCAAGTAGATTATGAGGAATTATGTATGCTAAGCATAGAAGCTTAGACATTTTTCCTAGAGGATATAAGCAGTCAATAAAATATTTTATTTCATTAAAAAAAATTTTCTGGCTGGGTGTGGTGGCTCATGCCTGTAATCCCAGCACTTTAGGAGACTGAGGTGGGCAGATTGCCTAAGGTCAGGAATTCAAGACTAGCCTGGCCGACATGGTGAAACCCTGTCTCTACTAAAAAAACAAAAATCAGCCAGGCATAGTAGCAGGTGCCTGTAATCCCAGCTAATCAGGAGGCTGAGGCAAAAGAATCACTTGAACCTGGAAGGCAGAGGTTGCAGTTGGCCGAAACTGTGCCATTGTACTCCAGCCGTGGTGACAAGAGTGAGACTTCGTCTCAAAACAAAACAAAAAAAAATTTTTTAAGACACAGGGTTTCACTCTGTTGCCCAGGCTGCAGTGCAGCGGCACTGCAACCTTGAGCTCCTGGGCTCAAGGCATCTTCTCGCCTCAGCCTTCTCAGCAGCTAGGACTACAGGTGTGTGCCACTACACCCCACCAATTTTTAAAAAAATGTTCTGTAGAGATGGAGCCTCACTATGTTGCCCATACTGGTCTTGAACTGACAGGCTCATGCAATCCTCCAACTTCAGCCTCCCAAAGTGCTGGGATTGCAGGCATGAGACACGGCACCTGGCCCCAATACTGTAAACAGGATTAACATACACAAATTTCCATATTACTACTCTGGAAGCAGCCTGGCATCTCTGCATGAAGGATATAGGTGACAGACTTGAGAAAAATTGACCCTTTAGATGACTAAAATGGATCAAGGCAAAAATAGATAATGGGCCTTTTCATTTTTGGAGATGGAGTCTTGCTCTGTCACCCAGGCTGCACTGCAGTGGGGTGATCTTGGCTCACTGCAACCCTACCTCCCAGGTTCAAGCAATTCTCCTGCCTCGGCCTCCCAAGTAGCTGGAATTACAGGCATCCACCACTATACCCAGCTCATTTTTGTATTTTTAGTAGAGACGGGGTTTCATCATGTTGGCCAGGCTGGTCTTGAACTCCTGATCTTAAGTGATCCGCCCACCTCGGCCTCCCAAAGGGCTGGGGTTAGAGTCATGAGCCACTGCACCTGGCCTATAACTCAAAATGAATTAAAGACCTAAATGGAAAGCCTGGGACTATAAAGCTACTAGAAGGAAACGGGAAATGCTTAAAGACACTGGTCTTGAAAAAGATGAATAAGACTTCAAAATCAGAGACAACAAAAGCAAACAAACAAATGGGATTATATCAAACTAAAATGATCCTGCACAGCATAGGAAACAACAGAATGAAAACATGGCAGAATAAATCTTCGAATTATGCTTCAAACACAGGATTAAGATCCAGAATATATTAATACAAGAACTCAAACATCTCAACTGCAAAAAACCCAAATAATCTGATTTGAAAACATGAACAAATGATTTGAATAGACATTTCTCGAAAGACATACTAATGGCCAACAAATATGTTAAAAAATGTTCACTAAACATCACCAATCAGCCAGGCACGGTGGCTCACGCCTATAATCCCAGTATTTTGGGATGCCAAGGCAGGTGGATCACTTGAGGTCAGGAGTTTCAAGATCAGCCTGACCAATATAATCCTCGTCTCTACTAAAAATACAAAATATCATCTGGGTTTCGTGGCATATGCATGTAGTCCCAGCAATTCAGGAGGCTGAGACAGGAGAATTGCTTGAACCCAGGAGGTAGAGGTTGCAGTGAACCAACATCACAGCACCACACTCCAGCTTGGGCAACAGAGTGGAGAGTCTGTCTCAAAACAACAACAACAACAACAAAATCACTAATTATCAGCGAAAGGCAAATTAAGACCACAATGAAGTACCATCTCACCGAAGTTAGGATGCTTATCATAAAGATAAAAAACAACAAATATTAGTGAGGATTCAGAGAAAAGGAAACTTATCCACTGTTGGTGGTGTGCTAACCTACCCTGTGTTAGCCTGACAGTCTCCATCTTGCTGAAAGCCAGAGAGACTCCATCTTTTTTTTTTTTTTTTTTTTTTTTGAGACGGAGTTTTGCTCGTTACCCAGGCTGGAGTGCAATGACGCTATCTTGGCTCACTGCAACCTCCGCCTCCTGGGTTCAGGCAATTCTCCTGCCTCAGCCTCCTGAGTAGCTGGGATTACAGGCACGTGCCACCGTGCCCAGCTAATTTTTTGTATTTTTAGTAGAGATGGGGTTTCACCATGTTGAACAGGATGGTCTCCATCTTTTGACCTCGTGATCCACCCGCCTCGGCCTCCCAAAGTGCTGGGATTACAGGTGAGAGCCACTGTGCCCGGCCGAGACTCCATCTTAACCTCCACCTAACCACTCCCGCCATTTCTCCCTTAAGTGTACACCTGGGTCATGCTACTGTGCTGGGTCATGCGGTACTTAAAACTATAGAAGCATATAACCTCTGTAACCATATCCTGCTTTGCAAGCCCACTTGCTATTGTGAATAACCCCTTGATTCAGTATGGCAAGTACTGAATACCCACCTTGATAACCAGCAATCATGGGAACCACGTGTGTATACCCTCCTCGGTAATCAACAATCATGGGAACCTCCTGCCTCCTAGTTACCAGCCTCCTTATCTAACTTGCTTGTTCTGCTTCTGTAAATTCTGCTTCAGCTAGGCTCTCCCCTCCCCTACCTTAAGCAAGGTATAAAAAGGAATCCAGCCCCTTCCTCGAGGCCGGGAGAATTTTGAGCATCAGCCATCTCTTAGTGATCAGCTAAAAAAGTTCTCTTAGGCCGGGCATGGTGGCTCAAGCCTGTAATCCCAGCACTTTGGAAGGCCGAGGCGGGTGGATCACGAGGTCAAGAGATCGAGACCATCCTGATCAACATGGTGAAACCCCGTCTCTACTAAAAATACAAAAAATTAGCTGGGCATGGTGGTGTGTGCCTGTAATCCCAGCTACTCAGGAGGCTGAGGCAGGAGAATTGCCAGAACCCAGGAGGCGGAGGTTGTGGTGAGCCGAGATCGTGCCATTGCACTCCAGCCTGGGTAACAAGAGCAAAACTCTGTCTCAAAAAAAAAAAGTTCTCTTAATTTGGAACTCAGAGTGTGGCGCTTTCCTTCTGACTCACTCAGTTTTAACAGTGGGATGTCGACTAGTATAGCCACTTGGAGAAGAGTATGAAGGTTTCTTAAAAAAACTACAAATAGGGTCAGGTGTGGTGGCCCACACCTGTAATCTCAGCGCTTTGGGAAGCTGAGGCAGGCAGAATACTTGCGGTCAGGAATTCAAGACCAGCCTGGCCAAGATGGTTAAACCCGTTTCTACTAAAAATACAAAAATTAGCCAGACATGGTGGTGTGCACCTGTAATCCCATCTATTCGGGAGATTGAAGCATGAGCATCACTTGAACCAAGGACACTGAGGTTGCAGTGAACCGAGATCATGCCACTGCACTCCAGCCTGGGCAACACAGTGAGACTCTCTCTCAAAAAATAATAATAATAATAAAATAAATAAATGGTGGTGCATGCCTGTAGTCCAAGCTACTAGGGAAGCTGAGGTTCACCTGAGCCTGGCCTGGAAGGTCGAGTGATCTGTGATTGTGCCACTGCGCTCTAGCCTAGGCAACAAAGTGAGACTCTGTCTCAAAAAAATTAAACAAATAAATAAAATAAAGATTTTTTTAAATAAAAATAAGCCACAGAAAACCAAGTAAAGTTAAACAATATATATTATTTAGGGATATGTGGAAAATTTGTTTAAATAACAAAGAATTTATAAGACAAAATCAGGACAGTGGTTTCCTCTTGGAGGGAGGCAAAAACAGGAATAGGGAAGGAACATAAAAATAGGACTTATTCTATACCAATTACATTCCAATTCTTCCTCTGAGTATTGGGTTCACTGGTGTTGATTTAATTTTATGCTTTGTAACGTGTCACATATATTCTTTTGTATACACAAAATACTGCCAAAGTAAACATCTTTAAAAAGCAAAGGGCAGCCAGGCGTGGTGGCTCATGCTTATAATCCCAGCACTTTGGGAGGCCGAGGCGGGCAGATCACCTGAGATCAGGAGTTCAAGACCAGCCTGGCCAACATGGTGAAACCCCATTGCCACTAAAAACACAAGAATTAGCCAGGTGTGGTGGGGCATACCTGTAATCCCAGGTACTAGGGAGGCTGAGGCAGGACGATTGCTTAAACCTGGAAGGTGGACGCTGCAGTGAGCCAAGATCGTGCCACTGTACTACAGCCTGGGCAACAGAACAACACTCTGTATTAAAAAAAAAAAAAAAAAAAAAAAAAAAAAAACCAGGAGGCTGAGGCAGGAGAATTGCCTGAACCCAGGAGGCGGAGGTTCCGGTGAGCCAAGATCGCGCCATTGCACTCCAGCCTGGGTAACAAGAGTGAAAAACTACGTCTGGGGGGGGGGGGGGGGGGGGGGGAAACAACCAGCAAAGAGCCCTCAATAGGCAAAACAAGCTTACAAAAGAACAAACACGGAGGACTCATATTGCGTAATTAAAAACATTATAGTAAGCCAAGCGTGGTGATTCATGCCTGTAATCCCACTACTTTGGGAGGGCAAGACAGGCAGATCACCTGAGGTCAGGAGTTCAAGACTAGCCTGGCCAACACAGCAAAACCCCATCTCTAGCGTGGTGGTGCCGGCCTGTAATCCCAGCTACTCAGGAGGCTGAGGCAAGAGAATCACTTGAACCTGGGAGGTGGAGGTTACAGTAAGCTGAGATTGTGCCAAAGCACTCCAGCCTGGGTGACTGTCTCGAAGAATAAAAATTTTAAAAAAATTTTTAAATTGGTAACTTTTGTTATATATTTCACTGTGGAAAAAAAAAAAAATCTGGGGCTGGACACGGTGGCTCACACCTGTAATCCCAGCACTTTGGGAAGCTGAAGCAGATGGATCACTTGAGGTTAGGAGTTGAGACCAGCCTGGCCAACATGGTGAAACCCCATCTCTACTAAAAATACAAAAATTAGCCAGGTGTGGTGGTACACGCCTATAGTCCCAGCTACTTGGGAGGCTGAGACAGAATCGCTTGAACCTGGGAAGCAGAGGTTACAGTGAGCTGAGATTGCGCCACTGCACTCCAGCCTGGGTGACAGAGTGAAACTCTGTCTCAAAAAGAGGAAAAAAAAAAAAAAAGAAAGAAAAGGAAACTATCTCTGGGCAGCAATTACTGAATTATATTTCTTTTTCACTTAATTCCTTCTTATGACAGACTTAATGAAGGCTAATTGTGCTTCTACTGAAAATATTTGTGATCTCTTGGTTATAATGAGACTATTTTCCTTGGAAGTTAGACATGTAACATTTAAAGAAAAATTATTTTCAAAATTGAGTGTTCCCGATAGCAGGAAAACAACTGTGAACTTCGCTGTTTGCCAAGCTCAAATATACTTTGTGATATTTTCTTCCCAGTTTATACTCTTCTCTTTGCTTTTCACATTTATTTTGATTACAAGATTCTCAAGCTTTCAGATTCAACTTTGCATATTTGTCTCATACTTTAATATCTTTTCCAATTCTCACATTTGTTTTAAGAGTTTCAGTTAACAGTGAATTATTATTACTAAACAGATAAGTTTATGAGTATTATTTTAGTTTCTATCTTCAAATATTTCATTACTGATTGCACTTTGTGTCCAGTAGTTTAATGCATACTGTAATATCGTAGAATAATGTTAGTTCTAAGTACCATTGTATTTTGTTCCTGGCTTAAAGGGAAAAAGTTTTTCTGCTGCCTCTTATTGAATCTTTTTGCATCCAAGAGATCTTACTTAGGCCAGGCGCAGTGGCTCACGCCTGTATCCCAGCACTTTGGGAGGCCAAGGTGGGTGGATTACTTGAGGGCAGAAGTTCCAGACCAGCCTGGCCAACATGGTAAAACCCTGTCTCTACTAAAAGTTCAAAATATTAGCCGGGCTTGGTGGCAGGTGCCTGTATCACAGCTGCTCGGGAGGCTGAGGCAGGAGAACTGGTTGAAATTAGAAGGCAGAGGTTGCAGTGACCAGAGATGGGGCTACTGCACACCAGCCTGGATGACAGAGTGAGACTTTGTCTCAAATAAAAAAAGAAAAGAAAAGAAAGGAGATTCAACTGAGAGAATAAAAAATTTGAAAACAAGACAATTGAAAATACACAATAAATGGGAGATATGGCAACATTTTATCTGCCCTGCTAATGTGATAATTAGCAGAAAGCAAACTAAGGGGTTTGTAGCCTGGAGCTGGCTTTGTCCCTTACCTTGCCATTGAGAACGATGTTCTGGCTTCCACATAACACCGACTGGCGACTGACTTTGTTCCCAGATGCCTAAAAGAAAACAGTAGAAAACCAGGGTGAGCAAACTTACTGGGTTTCTGGACTAAAGGTTTCTGTCAAGAAAGCTCATATTTGAGAGGAAAAAAACTTAATGTGGGGTGCTGTCCATGATAGAGTGAGTCCAGATATCAAAAAGCAAAGATGGTTGAGGAAACTATGACTGAGCATGGTGGTTCATACCTGTAATCTCAGCACTTTGAGAAGCCGAGGCAGGAGGATCCCTTGAGGCCAGGAGTTCAAGACCAGCCTGTGCAACATAGTGAGACTCCTTCTCCGCAAAAAAAAAAAAAAAAAAATTTTTAATTAGCTGCTCGTGGTGGCAGTGTCTATAGTCCCAGCTCCTCAGAAGGCTAGGCTGGAGGATCTCTTGAGCCTGGGAGGTTGAGGCTACAATGAGCCGTGATTGCGCCACTGCACTCCAGCCTGGGCAACAGAGTTGAGACCCTGTCTTAAAAAAAAAAAAAAAAAAGGCCGGGCGCGGTGGCTCAAGCCTGTAATCCCAGCACTTTGGGAGGCCGAGGCGGGTGGATCACGAGAGATCGAGACCATCCTGGTCAACATGGTGAAACCCCGTCTCCACTAAAGATACAAAAAATTAGCTGGGCATGGTGGTGTGTGCCTGTAATCCCAGCTACTCAGGAAGCTGAGGCAGGAGAATTGCCTGAACCCAGGAGGCGGAGGTTGCGGTGAGCCGAGATTGTGCTATTGCACTCCAGCCTGGGTAACAAGAGCGAAACTCCATCTCAAAAAAAAAAAGGAAACTAGGGACTCAAGGAATGAACCCAGAATTTGAATGTATCTAGCTTAGTGGCATTAGACAGATGTGGATTCAAGTCTCACTTCTTAGGCTTTAGAGCCCTAAAACGAGTATAATGACTTTATGAATATCAGAGTTGTGAGAATACAAAGAAAGCCAAAATAACAATAATGTTGGCCGGGCGTGGTGGCTCACGCCTATAATTCCAGCGCTTTGGCAAGCGGAGGCAGACAAATCACGAGATCATGAGTTCAAGACCAGCCTGGCCAACATGGTGAAACCCGTCTCTACTAAAAAATACAAAAAAATTAGCCGGGCATGATGGCAGGCACCTGTAATCCCAGCTACTCAGGAAGCTGAGGCAGGAGAATCGCTTGAACCTGGGAAACGGAGGTTTCAGTGAACCGAGACCCCGCTACTGCTGGGCAAAAAAGTGAGACTCCGTCTCGGAAAAATAAAAATAAAAACACACAGAAAACAAAACATAGTAATGTTTATTGGTCACCTGCCCTGCTTCCAGGATTTTACAAACATATCATGTGCTGATCATAAAGAACCAAATTGGCAGGGCGCGGTGGCTCACGACTGTAATCCCAGCACTTTGGGAAGCCCAGGCGGGTAGATCACCTGAGGTCAGGAGTTCGGGACCAGCATGGCCAACACGGTGAAACCCCGTCTCTACTGAAACTATATAAATTACCCGCGCGTTGTGGCAGGCACCTGTAATCCCAGTTACTCGGGAGGCTGAAGCAGGAGAATCACTTGAACCCGGGAGGCGGAGGTTGCAGTGAGCTGAGATCGCGTCACTGCACTCCAGCCTGGGCGATAGAACAAGACTCCGCCCCCCCCCGCCCCCCTCAAAAAGAACCTAATCGTTTTTAGCACAAGTTAACAGATTACAAAAGGCAGTGTAAAAGGGCCAGAAGCCCGAGCTGTAATTCATATTAACAGGATGGGACTTGTCCTACCCTCCTAAAAGCACTTTATCCCTATGAGAAAAGCAAGAATAAATACAAAAAGCCAAAACTAGCCATGCCCGGAGTAAAGAGCAAAGCCAGACCGTACAGGGAGCGTCGCTAGATACTCCGGGACTAACGGCCAAAGGGACCAGGGTGGTGGGGTAGGATCAGGTTGGGGCCGCCGACCCGGCCTCAAAGGGATGCAGGCTTAGAAAAAGGAGGGTAGCTATCTGGACACGCGCACCGTCTCGATGTACTCGGACTTGTTGTAAAGCAGCTCGCCCAACTCCATGGCCGCCGCCTCCTTCCCTCAGACCCGGCTCCTGTCAGAATCCGTCGGTCAGTCTTTCTGAGATTCCGGCTACTTCCGGCCGCTCCTCCACTTCCGCTCTAGGTGGACCTCTGGGTCTCATCGACAGCGCGGCTCTCCTTTAGACGGCCTCGCTTCACTGCTCGGCTGTCTCTGGCTGCGCATGCGCAGGAAGAACGGTGTATTTAATTGGCCGGAGTTTAGGGCGCGCCTGGCTCGCGTGGGTCAGCTGATCGAGCACTGAGGGGGCGATTTGGGGCTCCCATTCCTCCTCGGGGCGCCTCCGCGGCCCAGGAACAACTGGGTCCCGGTGTTGGCAGGCCTGGGGTCGGCGACGGCTGCTCTTTCCGTTCTGTCGCCTGCCGGATGGAAGAGCCTCCCGGGAAGCCCCTCAGCTGTGAGGAGAAGGAAAAGGTGCCAGGGGGTGCGGGAAGGGCGGACGCAGGACTCTGATCCTCTTTCTCAGGGTTTTAGGCCTGACTTTATGTCATCGGCGGTCCGAGGGCAGCAGGATCGTCTGCCCTCCCCTCCTCTTAGGGCTGAGGGGGCACAGAAAATGAAAAGGTAGAAATAGCGTGGTGCTGACGTGGTGGTGTTTAAAGAACAAATCTCATTACAGTAGCAATGCGTTAATGCAGTGTGTAACACCTTCTAGATAAAGCTGTATCGACAGCCTTGCTCCTGCCCCCTCCCGCACTCTCAATCTTCACTTCTCCCGCCCCACCTCCTCAAGTACACGTTTTAAGTCTGGTACTTCCAGGTCCTTTGGTGTGTTCGTGTGTATGGTCGAGGAGGGACGTATCCCTGACCACCGAAAAGGAATCCTGTGTGGATTTTTTGGAGAAGGGAAAGTTCCTAAATGGTATGATCCGAATGGTTCCGCAGGCTCCATTTTTCATACCCCTGCTTAGCGTTCCTTAGCGTTCCTGTCAGGACATGTTTATCTACCTTACTTCCATTTTTAAGTTCTAGACAGTATTTTTGTTATAAAAATTTGTTATAAAATACTGTCTAGAACTTAAAAATGCAAGTAAGTTCTTTTTTCTTTTCTTTTCCTTACTTTTCTACTTGTTTTTTTGAGACAAGAATCTCACTCCGCCACCCATACTGAGGTACAGTGGCGCCATCTCAGCTCACTGCAACCCCCGCCTCCCGGGTTCAAGCGACTGTCCTGCCTCTGCCTCCCGAATAGCTGGGATTACAGGCCACCGTGCCTGGCCTTGGAAGTGCCCTTGCTTCTTTAGACTGTACTTTACCGATAGACTTTTAGGATGTTTCCAGTTTTTGCTGATGTTCTTATCATGGCTTAGCTTCTTTGGGCGTGAGAAAGAGCATTTATACGTAAACAAGATTATCCCCAGACATTGATAAGATTGGTGGGAGGCCAGTCTCATGGCTCACGCCTGTAATCCCAGCACTTTGGGAGGCCGAGATGGCTAGATCGCTTGAGCTCAGAGTTTGAGAACAGCCTAGGCAACATAGTGAAACCCTGTCTCTACTAAAAATACAAAAATTAGCCGGGTGTGGTGATGCCCGCCTGTAGTCCCAGAGGCACAGGCCTCAGAGGCTGATGCACAAGAATCGCTTGAACTCGACGCTGAGATCGCACCACTGCACTCCAGGCTGGGCGACAGAGTGAGACTCAGTCTCAAAAAAAAAAAAAAGAAAAAGAAAAATCCACAGTTGGCAGCTTATCTAGTAGCATGTTTTACACATAGTAGATTTTTGGTTTTGTTTCTGTTTTTGAGGACGAGTCTCACTCTGTTGCCCAGGCTGGAGTGCAATAGCGTGATCTCGGCTCACTGCAACCTCCCCCTCCTGGGTTCAAGCGATTCTTCTGCCTCAGCCAGTGGAGTAGCTGGGATTTCGGGCGCTCACCATTGCGCCCAGCTAATTTTTGTATTTTTAGCAGAGACGGGGTTTCACCAAGTTGGCCAGGCTGGTTTCAAACTCTTGACCTCAGATGATCTACCCGCCTTGGCCTCCCAAAATTGTTGAGATTACAGGCGTGAGCCACCGCACCCAGCTGAGTAGATCTTTTCTTTTTTAAGGTGTATATGGAGGATGGAAATCTTGATGTTTTGTTGGTTGAAAGATTAGTATAGCTAAAAAGTTCCTAAAAAGCAGAAAAACCTGGGCTGGCTTTGCTGCTGAGAGAATCCTTTGAACCAAAGAAGCCAGAGAGACAAGGGAATCTAGACTTTCAAAGAACAGTAATTTGATTCAGCCAATTCATTTATTTATTTAATAAATCTTTGTTAAATGCCTACTGTGTGCCTGGCTGGGGATTCAGCAGTGATAGCTCCAGCTTCACTGGCCTTCTGCGTGTTCCTTAAACACACATAGCCCATTCCACTGCAGATACTTTATATTTGTGGTACCCTCTGCCTGGGGTACCATTCCCTCTGATCTTCCCAAAACTAGCTCCTTCCTCCTTCAATCTTAGGCTCAAATGATGGTACTCAAAAATGCCTCCCTGACCACTCTAACTAAAGTAGTCCCTGTCAGTAGGCTAGTAACTCTCTCACATCACTCTGTTTATCTATCTAGTTATTTATTACCTTGTAAAATCATTTTCTGTTTGTTTTCTTATTATATGTATTTCTCACTGTATGTAAATTGCATCTGGAATAGCATCTGGAGCAATAATTGCCACATAGTGAGTATCGGTTATTGTCCCAGGTACCAGAGATACCTGGACCATTAACTGACAAAAGATTCATTTGTTAAATGACTGAGGGTGACAGTCCCTGCCACCTTCATGGATCTGGGCAATGGGGAGAAACAGAGATGTAAACAGACAACATAGTGTGATAATACTGTGATGAGGGAAGTAAGAGGACTGGTAGAGTGTCTAACCTAGATTTGGTGAAGGACCCGGAAGTCTATCCCAGGGAAATAAAAATCTAAGCTAAGGCTTGAAATGTTCCAAGTGACAGGAACAGGTTATGCAAAGATCCTGAAATGGTCAAGAGCTTGGTGCTTTTTGAGAACTGAAAGTAGATTGTTAGGGACCAGTGCTACTCGCTGCCTCTTGCTAAGGGACTCTGCCAAGCAATGCATCCCTTCCCTCTGACTCCACCTTTCCACTTGCCCAGTATTGTTGGTGTTTTTCTTCTTCCAGTTAAAGGAGAAATTAGCATTCTTGAAAAGAGAATACAGCAAGACACTAGCCCGCCTTCAGGTAAGTGAATTGTATTCTCAAATTAAGGTGTCGTAGTACAAAGAATTTGAAAACAGTTCTTGACTCTAATAAAGCTTTAAAGAAAATTTATTTCTTGGGCTGTTTTTGTTTCCTGTAGCGTGCCCAAAGGGCTGAAAAAATAAGGCATTCTATTAAGAAAACGGTAGAAGAGCAAGATTGCTTGTCCCAGCAGGAACTCTCACCACACCTAAACCATTCAGGTAAATCTAGACCATTCACTTATGCCTGCTTTATTATTCATTTCCCAGGTATATTTTGGCTGTTGTTCTTTTTCCCACAGTGAAGATAATGACTAGCAATAGACTCTTCAGTTTTAATTTTAATTTAATTTTATTTTTTTTAGACAATCTCATTCTGTCACCCAGGATGGAGTGCAGTGACACAATCTTGGCTCACTATAATCTCCACCTTTCGGGCTCAAGTGATTCTCATGTCTCAGCCTCCCAAGTAGCTAGGATTACAGGCATGCACACTACCACACCTGGCTAATTTTTATATTTTTAGTAGAGACAGGGTTTCGCCATGTTGGCTTGGCTGGTCTCAAACTCCTAGCCTCAAGTGATCTGTCCGCCTGGGCCTCCCAAAGTGCTAGGATACAGGCATGAATGAGCCACCGGCCCAGCTGCAGTATACTCTAATTAACATAAAATTCATATGCCATAAAATCTACTCTATAGACTCTGCTTTCAGTTATAGTGTTTATGAGTTGCTCTTTTTCCCTCTCTTCACTTTTTTCCTTCTCAATTTTCAGAAATTATATTTATTGTTTAAATTTTAGAAAGCTTTTTTAAATTTATGTATATACGAACAGAGAAAAAAATCTGAGTAAAAATACTCTAAAACCAATGGTCAATTCTGATGTTAAAATTCAAGTAATTTATAATAATAAAATTGAGGGTTATTGAAAAGGGAAGGTTATGAAAATTACTTGAGTCAAGGGGAAAATAAAAGAAATACATGAGATAGGCCAGGTGTGGTGGCTCACGCCTGTAATCCCAACACTCTGGGAGGCTGAGGCGGGTGTATCACCTGAGGTCAGGAGTTCGAGACCAGTATGAACAACATGGAGAAACCCAGTTTCTGCTAAAAATACAAAATTAGCCAGGCATGGTGGCGCATCCATGTAATCCCAGCGAATTGGGAGGCCAAGGCAGGAGAATTGCTTGAACCCAAGAGGCAGAGGTTTCAGTGAGCCGAGATCATGCCATTGCACTCCAGCCTGGGCAACAAGAGCAAAACACCACCTCAAAAAAAAAAAAAAAAAAAAGAAAGAAAGAAAGAAATACATGAGATAAAAAATTAGTTGAGATTTAAAAATTAAGAGAAAATGTTGTGTGATAAAGAATACTCTGTTTGAAACACATTTTTAGCACAATACTATTTGTTTTACATGTACTTAAAATTTCATAGATTATTTGATTTAAAAAAATTAGGACTTTTAGCTTTATGCAGTGGCAGTATCATAGTCAATGAGGTTTATTCAAGGTGGATTATTGCTAATTGAAAACTTTTCCTAATACCCTGCCATGACAACTTGACACATAGTTGGCATTGGCAATTTTTGACAGTCTCTACGGAGACTGAAAAAAAAAAATTAGGACTTTTAAAAGTATGTACGGTATGGATTATGTACAGCTCCTTTACAGACTCCATCAGATGGTAGAAGTAGTCAGCACCTTGAACATATTCCTCTTAAAGATAACAGTGAACTTACTACTCACAGCCTAAAAAACAGTTTTACTTCACCGGTAAATTCATCTACCTGAATGAAATGCCACTGATTCTCTCTTGAATAAATGTTTAGTAGTATTTATTATAATAGGTTAAAAAATTGAGTCCTTTTTGTTTCATTTTATAAGACAGATAAGGTATATACCTTTTTTTTCCTTTTCAGAACCTAAAAATAAAATACCTCTTTATAACAAGTTACACATCAAAACCCATCTTGATGGAGAAACTGCAGAAAAGACATCTATCACACTTGATGTTGGGCCTGAGTCTTCTAACCCTGGAGATGGCCCAGGAGAATTACCTATACAAAGAACAGATGACACCCAAGAACATTTCCCACACAGGGTCAGTGACCCTGATAGTGAGAAAAAACAGAAACTGCCAAGGAGAAGTAAGAAGCAGCAGAAGAGAACATTTATTTCACAGGAGAGAGACTGTGTCTTTGACGCTGATTCACTCAGACTGTCTGGGAAAAGCCTAAAGGAACAGGAAGAAATCAGCAGCAAAAATCCTACTAGATCACCAGTAACTGAAATAAGAACTCACTTTTTAAGTCTTCAGTCTGAACTTCTGGATTCTCCAGAACCAATTACAGAAACTAATGGAAAGAGTTTATTAATTCCACCAACTGCCCAACCAGAAAAAGGTGTTGATACACTCCTAAGAACTAATTTGACCAAGACGACTACAGTTCCTTTACAGACTCCATCAGATAGTAGGAGTCAGCACTTTGAAAGTATTCCTCCTAAAGGTAGCAGTGAACTTACTACTTGTGGCCAAAAAAGCATTAGATTTACTTCACCGGTAAGTTTGGAGGCACATGGCAAAAAAGTAACTGTCTCTACAGAGAACCTGGTTGTAAATAAAGGTGTAAGTGGCCATCTGCCCACAAGTTCTAATTTAGAGGCAGATATTTCATGTTCTACAAATGAACTCACTCACAATAACTTATCAGCAAATGAAAACCAAAACTTAAAAGAACAAAATCAAACAGAGAAATCTTTAAAATCTTCCAGCAATGCTCTTGATGGCAGAAATGAAAATCTTCAGGAAAATGATATTCTAAGTCAACCTAAGAGTCTTAGCCTAGAAGCAACTTCTCCTCTTTCTGCAGAAAATCATTCTTGCACAATGCTTGAAGGTCTTCTGTTTCCTGCAGAATATTATGTTAGAACAACACGAAGCATGTCCAATTGCCAGAGGAAAGTAGCCGTGGAGGCTGTCATTCAGAGTCATTTGGATGTCAAAAAGAAAGGGTTTAAAACTAAAAATAAGGATGCAAGTAAAAATTTAAACCTTTCCAATGAGGAAACTGACCAAAGTGAAATTAGGATGTCTGACACATGCACAGGAGAACCGAGTTCAAGAAACTCTCAGAAATTTTTCTCGTTAACTAAAGTCAACTCTCCCACTGCGCCTACTGAAGACAATGACCTGTCTAGGAAGGCAGTTGCCCAGGCATCTGGTAGAAGAAACAGAGGAAAAAGAAAATCAGCCTGCACCCCAGCATCAGATCATTGTGAACCACTTTTGCCAACTTCCAGCACGTCAGTTATTAATAGGGCCAAAGATGAAGTCACCTCGCACAAATATCAGAAGAAAAAGGCAGTTATTCGAGAGAACGGTAAATCAAGATGTGTTTGATGATGATGATGATGATGATGAAAGCTAACAATTACTATGTGCCCAGCAATTTCTTTCTTTCTTTTTTTGTTTTCTAAAAAGAGAGCTGAGTGTGGTGGCTTACGTCTGTAATTCCAGCTATTTGTAGAGCTGAGGCTGGCAGATTGTTTGAGCCCAGGAGTTTGAGACCAGCCTGAGCAACATGGCGAAACTCCGTCTCTACAAAAAATACAAAAATTAGCTGGGTATCTGGGTGTGATGGTGTGTGCCTGTAGTCCCAGGTAGTCAGGAGGCCGAAGTGGGAGGATCGCTTGAGCCTGGGAGGCAGAGGTTGCAGTGAGCCAAGATCTAGCACTCCAGTCTGGGGAACGGAGTGAGATCCTGGCTCAAATAAATGAATGAATGAATGAATGATAAATTAATAAAGAGATAGGGTCTCACAATCATCCAGGCTAGGGTGCAGTGGTTTGATCATGGCTCATTGTAGCCTCTATCTCCTGGGCTCCAGTGTTCCTTCTGCCTCTGCCTCCGAGCTAGCTGAGACTACAGGCATGTACCACCATGCCTGGCTAATGTTTTTAAACTCTTTGTAGAAGTGAGGTCTTGCCCTGTTGCCCAGGCTGATCTTGAACTCCTGGCCTCAACCAACCCTCCCACCACGGCCTCCCAAAGTGCTGGAATTACAGACATGAGCCACTGTGTCCACCCTGCCTGACACTTTCTAAATGCTGTACAGATACTAACTGATTGAGTCATCATAGCAGTCCTACCTGAGGTAGAATCTATTTTCATTCTCACTTTACAGGTGAGGAAACTAAAGCATAGGGAGATTAAAATGACTTTAGGCAGCATGCAGTGACTCATGCCTGTAATCCCAGCACTTTAGGAGGCCAAGGCGGGTGGGTCACTTGAGGCTGGGAGTTTAAGACCAGCCTGGCCAACATAGTGAAACCCATCTCTATTAAAAATACACACAAAAAAATCAAAATTAGCTAGGTGTGGTGGCACATGCCTGTAATCCCTGCTACTCAGGAGTCTGAGGCAGGAGAATTGCTTGAACCCAGGAGGTGGAGGCTCCAGCCTGGGTGACAGAGTGATACTCCATCTCCAAAAAAAAAAAATTAAATGACTTTAATTAATGTAATTAAAATCAAGAGCCAGGATTCAAACCTGATAGTATGGTGCCAGTGTTCACTAATAGAGCTGAAACAAACACTGAAAAGGAAAATATATTGGTTGTGTATGTAATATTAATATTTATTCAGGCAGAACACAATTCTTATCTATGGCTAGAAGTTTCACAGCTAACATAGAGAGTGTTTTTTGAAGTAAAATGGAATTTGTACTGGAGTAAGACTCTATGTCAGGTTTGGTGGCTCAACCCTGTAATCCCAGCACTTTGGGAGGCTAAGGCAGGAGGATTGCTTGAGCCCAGGAGTTTGAGACCAGCTCGAGCAACATGATGAAACCCCATCTCTACCAAAAAAAAAATAAAGAAAAATTAGCCAGGTGTTGTGGTGTATGCTTGTAGTTTCAGTTACTTGAGAGGCTTAGGTGGGAGGGTCACTTGAGCCCAGGAGGTTGAGGCTGCAGTGAGCCGTGATTGCACCACTGCACTCCAGCCTGGGTGACAGAGCAAGACCCAAGACCCTCTCTCAAAAGAAAAAGAAGAGGAGTCCACTGACAACCTCTTTTAGAAGTCAACACGTAATGTAAAAAGCCTGAGCAACTTTTTTGGATAAAATATCTAATGCAGTGTCTCTAAGGCCTCCAAGGAACACAGGATTTTTGAGGATGGCAAGCAAGGATACATTGTAATTTAAACTTTTAATTCATTTACTGAGGATTTAATCATATCTGATCAACTGAGCACAAAAACTGGGTAATTCATTATGGCTCTAAACCAGGGATCAGCATATTTTCTAGAAGGGGCCAGATAGCACATATTTTAGTCTTTGTGCCCTGTCTTAACTCAGCTCTATGCCGGAGCAGCCAAATTCAATTTGTAATTGTGACTATGTTCTAACACACCTTTACTGTACATTTTACAGCCGAGTTGGTAAAACAAAAAAAACAACTTTATGTGCAAAAATAAGTAGCAGGCGGTTCTGTACCACTGGACAGGGACTTGCTCTATGAGCTATGATTAATTAATCCAAAAATAATAATTGTGACTCTTCATTATCTTTTAAGTTAACAAGAATACAAAGTTATCAAAAAGTAGGCAATCCAGTAATCTAGAAATACTATTTTTTACACAGTAGTTTTTTGTTGTTGAGACAGAGTTTCGCTCTTATTGCCCAGGATGGAGTGCAATGGTGCTATCTCAGCTCACTGCAACCTCCACCTCCCAGGTTCAAGCGATTCTCCCATCTCAGCCTCCTGAGTAGCTGGGATTACAGGTGCCCGACACCATGCCCAGCTAATTTTTATATTTTTAGTAGAGATGAGGTTTCGCCATTTTGGCCAAGCTGGTCTTGACCTCCTAACGTCAGGTGATCTGCCTGCCTCGGCCTCCCAAAGTGCTGAGATTACAGGCATGAGCCACCAGGCCCAACCAGTAGATTGAAATAGTCTGCTATAATTTTAGTAGACTGCAGCTACATTTAAAAACTTTTTTTCACCAGGTGACATTCACATAACAACATTAGACATTTTAAATTAAGTGAACAAGTCAGTACATTTACAGTGTTGTGCAGCTATCACCTCTATCTCATTCTAAAACATTTTCATCACCTCAAAATCCCATACCCATTAAGCAGCTGCTACCTATTTCTCTCCCCCTACCCTCTACCCCATCCTTGGGCAACCACCAATCTGCATTCTATCTCTGGATTTGCATATACATCGTATTTCATATATATGGATATTTCATATATATGGAATTATACAATATGAGACCTTTTGTGTCTGGCTGCTTTCACTCAGCATAACAGGTTTATTTGTTTTTGAGATGGAGTCTTACTCTGTTGCCCAGGCTGGAGTGCAGTGGCAAAATCTTGGCTCACTACAACCTCTGCCTCCCAGGTTCAAGTGATTCTTCTGCCTCAGCCTCAGGAGTAGGTGGGATTACAGGCACCCAACACCACGCCTGGCTAATTTTTGCATTTTTAGTAGAGACAGGGTTTCATCATGTTGGCCATGCTGGCCTCAAACTCCTGATCTCAAGTGATCCACTTACCTTTGGCCTCCCAAAGTGCTGGGATTATAGGTATGAGCCATTAAGTCTGGCCACTTAGTATAATGTTTTTAAGGTACACCCTGTGTTGTAACATGCATCAGTAGTTTGTTCATTTTTATGACTAAATAATATTCCATCATATGTATATGCCACAGTTTGTTTATGCATTCATCATTTAGGAGATAGCAACATTTTGAATGGTGTGGGATACCATTTGCAGTAAGAGCAGTTAATTTCTACTCAGGAGGCTGATGTGGGAGGTTGCAGTGAGCCAAGATCTCACCACTGCACTCCAGCCTGGGCAACAGTGAGACCCTGTCTTGAAACAAACAAGCAAACAAAAAGCAGTGGTGACAAACAAAAGGGCACTTAATTTTCCATAGTGGGAGGAGCCAGCATTTAGTAGACCATACTCTGGCAACCTGTTGGAATCACAGTTTTAGAGGTAGGAAAGGATATAGATATTTTTAGTTCACTTCCCTTATGAGAGACAATGAGAACAGGGAAAATGAAATAAATCAGTTTGCCTAAGTTTACACTATAAATCAGTGGTTGAGCTGAGACTTCACCTCAGTCCCTTTTCGCAGTTAATGTTGGCCATATACTGTTTTGTTTTATTTGGTTTTATTTATTTATTTATTCTTTGAGATGGAATCTCACTTTGTTGCCCAGGCTAGAGTTCAGGGGGGCAGTGTGGTCCACTGCAGCTTCCACCTCTTGGGTTGAAGTGATTCTCCTGCTTCAGCTTCAAGTAGCTGAGATCGCAGCTAATTTTTTTTTTTTTTATTTTTAGTAGAGACAGGGTTTCACCATGTTGGTGAGGCTGGTCTTAAACTCCTGACCTCAAGTGATCCGCCTGCCTCAGCCTCTCAAAGTACTGAGACTACAAGTGTGAGCCATTGTGCCTGGCCTTATTTTTTTTTTTTTTTAAAAGACAGCCTCACTGTGTTGCCCAGGTTGGTCTTGAACCCCTGGGTTCTGGCGATTCTCTTACCTTGACCTCTCAAAGCACTAGGATTACAGCTGTGAGCTACCACACCTGGCTAGCAATACACTTTTGGGGTAGTGTGGAAAAAGAGCTGCTAATTAACCACTAACCCATGACCATTGTTTGAACCCTTCACCCAGGTTTCTGAGTCATGAGTGGGAAAAGTAATAAACATTTTCTAGTATATGTGAGTTTAGAAACTGGCTCTTTGTTGGGTATTAATGTCTCTTTTGTTGGGTTTTGTTACTATGTGGCTTATTTTTCTCTAGGGAAGAAAAGTCGTCATCAAAAAGAGGACTCCCTTTCTTGGAGTAATAGTGCTTATTTATCCTTGGATGATGATGCTTTCACAGCTCCATTCCATAAGAATAGAATGCTGAATTTAAAGCAGCTATCGTCTTTTCTCAATATGACAGACTTTCAGTTGCCTGATGAAGACTTTGGGCCTCTTAAGCTTGAAAAACTGAAATCCTGCTCAGAAAAACTAATGGAGCCCTTTGAATCAGAAGTGTATGGAGAGAGGCATCTTAAAGGGAGAAATTGTATTTTCCCAGAGGAACTGAGTCCTAAATACATGGATGCAGAAATGGAAGACTTAGAAGAGGACATTGTTGTTCTACCAGGAAAATCGCATCCCAAGATGCCAAACCCACAAAGCCAGTGTACAAAGAAGGGCCTTTCTTCATCCATATTACTTTATACTCCTTTAAATACGGTTGTGCCTGATGATAATGATAGACCTACTGCAGACATGTGTTCACCTCCTTTCCCCATCTTAGGTACTACTCCAGCCTTTGGCTCTCAAGGCTCCTATGAAAAAGCATGCACAGAGGTCACTGGACGAACTTGCTGTATACCCCGACTTGCTCATTTGAAAGACTCAGTCTGTCTTGCCAGTGATGGTAAACAGTGCGACAGTTCAAGCAGCCCAGCAAAACCACATACCACCCTGCAAGTGTCAGGCAGGCAAGGACAACCTACCTGTGACTGTGAGTCTGTCTTGCAAGGAACACCCCCACCCACTGAGTCATTCACTTTTAAAGAAAATCAGCTCTATGGAAACACATGCCAGGAGTTGCATAAACGGTCTGTCCAACAGGTACATTTATTTCCTTTGTGAAATTTTCTCGAAGGAATGAAATGTCTTAGTGAATATAAACAGCATGACTTGCTTGCGTATTAGGCCTTCCATGTTTAAGAATGTTTTAACATGTTTCTTTGATGTGACTTCATTGTAAACATTAAGTTCATTCTGGGGAAATTAAGGCTCATTAAAATGTTTCTTTTAAATATGGGAGATCCTATTCTCTTTGTCATCAGTGAAAACAGTTTGCATCTGGAGCTTTGCTGCTATTAGAGGAAATAAAGACAATATGAAGTAGATATTTTGATGAGTAGGTGATACAGGGAGACGTTATACATAAAGTGTAGACTAATGATGTGACTTTTGTTTTCACAGAATGAAGTAGCAGTGCTTCCTGCTTCTGGTAGCATAAACCCAGGCAACCTAAAATTGGTTTCAAAGTTAAAGGTCAGAAGAATATTCTTTTACAGTGTCTTGGGTCTTTCATATGAAAATTGAATGAATTGAAAAATAATTTGATCATAGAGCTTCTTGTTCTTTAATACTATTAAATATATTGGTAAACAGATTCAGAAAAACAGATTTGGATTGTTTGTTTTTCCCAATTTTTTTTTTATTTTTTATGTTTTTCCCAATATTTACTTCTGTTTATGTTTTGAGCTCTTCTCTTGACAGTTCTATGCCAACCTATTGCCAAGAACAACTTAGGCTAAGTAAATCTTAAGTTAGGGAGCTGGGCGCAGTGGCTCACGCCTGTAATCCCAACACTTTGGGAGGCCGAGGTGGGTGGATTGAGACCATCCTGGTCAACAAGGTGAAACCCTGATACTAAAAATACAAAAAATTAGCTTGGCATGGTGGCGCATACCTGTAATCCCAGCTACTCAGGAGGCTGAGGTAGGAGAATTGCCTAAACCCAGGAGGCGGAGGTTGCGGTGAGCCGAGATCACGCCATTACACTCCAGCCTGGGTAACGAGTGAAACTTCGTCTCAAAAAAAAATAATAGTAATAATAATACCTGTGCTCTGTTTCAGAATTTATTCTTGAGTCAATTTTAATAACTTAGTTTATTTTTATTTTATTTTTTGAGACAGACTCTCTCTCTGTTGCCCAGGCTGGAGTGCCATGGGGCAATCTCCAATCTCCACTCACTGCAACCTCCACCTCACAGGCTCAAGTGATTCTTGTACCTCAGCCTCCAGAGTAGCTGGGATTACAGGTGTGCACCACCACACCTTGCTAATTTTCAAATTTTTATTTATTTACTTTTTTAGACAGAGTTTTGCTTTCGTTACCCAGGCTGGAGTGCAGTGGTGTGATCTCAGCTCACTGCAACCTCCACCTCCCAGATTCAAGCAATTCTCCTGCCTCAGCCTTCCCAGTAGCTGGGTTACAGGCATGTACCACCGTGCCTGGCTAATTTTGTACTTTTAGTAGAGACAGGTTTCTTCATGTTGGTCAGGCTGGTCTCGAAATTCTGACCTTAGGTGATCCGCCAATGTCAGTCTCACAAAGTGCTGAGATTGCAGGCGTGAACCACTGCACCTGGCCAATTTTTCTATTTTTAGTAGAGATAGAGTTTTGCCACCTTGGCCAGGCTGGTCTTGAACTCCTAACCTCAGAGGCTCTGCCTGCCTCAGCCTCTCAAAGTGCTGGAATCATAGGTGTGAGCTACCATGCCCAGTATCCTAATAACTTAGCCTCTTAAGGAATCAACCATTTCATTCATATTTTCAGATTTGTAGGTAAAAAGTTACTACTTCTTAAAGATTTTTAAAATCTGTGTATATGCAATTAAGCCTCTCCTCTCCATTCTCCCATTTCTAAAATTATTGTTTTTCTACATTAGACTTGAGATTTGGTCATTATATTAATTGGGTTGTTTTTTTTGTGGTTGTTTTTTGTTTTGTTTTCTAGTTCATTTATTTCTGGGTTTTGTTTTGTTTTATGAGAGTGAGCCTTGTTCTGTCACCAGGCTGGAGTGCACTGGCTCGATCTTAGCTCACTGCAACCTCTGCCTTCCAGGTTCAAGAGATTCTCCCACTTCAGTTTCCCAAGTAACTGGGACTCCAGGCATGTGCCACCACACCTGGCTAATTTTTTGTATATTTAGTAGAGACAGGGTTTCACCGTGTTAGCCAGGGAGGTCTCAATCTCCTGAACTCATGATCCACTAGCCTCGGCCTCCCAAAGTGCCAGGATTACAGGCATGAGCCACTGCACCTGGTCTAGTTCTGTTTTTGTGATAAGTAGAATAACTATAAATAATTCCTTCCTACTGTTTTTTATTGTTCTTATTTTGTTTTTGTACTGACTTCCTGAGCTGCATGCTTACTTGAGTTTAATCTTTCTTGTTTTCTTATAAATGGCTTTGTGATTATGATTTTTCTTGGAAATTTCCAAATTTTCTTGGAAATACTGGTTTGGCCATGCTCTGTGGTTTGGATATGTAGTGCTCCCATTGTCATAATAGTAGATAGTATAATATATGTTGTTTCCATGTTATTCCCTCTTCAACCCATGAGTGGTTCATCAGGATGTTTCATTTTTCAAATGGGTAAGTTCTATGGGTTATCTTCTTATGGTTAAATCTGAATTTATTCCATCTGGATTATATATTTTAAAATCTTTCATGGGCCAAACGCAGTGCTCATGCCTGTAATCCAGGCACTTCGGTAGGTGAAACCTGTCTCTACTATAAATACAAAAATTAGCCGGGTGTGGTGGCAGGTGCCTGTGATCCCAGCTACTCCGAAGGCTGAGGCAGGAGAATCACTTGAATCCAGGAGGCGGAGGTTACAGTGAGCCAAGATTGCACCACTGTACAGCCTGGGTGATAGAGTGAGTGAGACTCAATCTCAAAAAAAAAAAAAAAAATTAAAATTAATAAAATAAAACATAAGATATTTCATAATGTAAATTTGATAGGCAATTTTTTAGGTACATAAGAATCACAAAGCTCTTTCTTTTGACCTGCATAAAACTTAAATTTTACATACCTACTATTTCATGGAATTGTAATTCCTCACTTTTCATATTTATGCTTTGCATAAAACAGCCCTCGAGTACCACTTTAACAGAACTCTTGTTGCTATTGTGTCAGAATCTTTCAGGTTCCTGTTCCATAGATGTGAGTGCCATGTTTTGGGAAAGAGCCGGTTGTAAAGAGCCATGTATCATAACTGCTTGTGAAGATGTAGTTTCTCTTTGGAAAGCTTTGGGTGCTTGGCAGTGGGAAAAACTTTATACCTGGCACTTCACAGAGGTGAGTGGGAATCTCGAGCTGAAAACATATTTGCCTAATATTGTAGATGGGTAGCTTACCAAACTTGGGAGCTATGACCATGCAAGGCAGAACAGAGATGAGGTTTTTTTCCCCTAACATTTTATTATGAAAAGTTTCAAACACCCAGAAAAGTAGTGTAGTGAGTACCCATATACCTACCATTATAGACTCTACCATTAACATGCTGCTTTATTTGCTCTATCACAAATTTTTGTTTGTTTGAGACAAGCTCTCACTCTGTCACACAGGCTGTAATGCAGTGGCATGATCATGGCTCACTGCAGCCTCAATCTCCCCAGGCTAGGTAATCTTCTCACCTCAGCCTCCCAAGTAGCTGGGACCATAGGCATATACCACCATGTCTGGCTAATTTTTTATTATTTTTTCTTTTTATTGAGATGGAATCTCTCTTTGTCACACAGGCTGGAGTGCAGTGGCACGATCTCAGCCCACTGCCAACCTCTGCCACCCGGGTTCAAGGGATTCTTGTGCCTCAGCCTCGTGAGTAGCTGGGATTAGAGGTGCCTGCTACCATGCCTGGCTAATTTTTTTGTATTTTTAGTAGAGATGGGATTTTGCCGTGTTGGTCAGGCTGTTCTCAAACTTCTGACCTCAGGCAGTCTGCCCACCTCAGCCTCCCAAAGTGCTGGGATTACAGGCATGAGCACCGCGCCTGGCCTGTATTTTTTATAGAGATGGGGTTTTGCCATGTTGCCCAGGCTGGTCTTGAACTCCTGGGCTTAAACAGTCCTCCTGCCTCAGCCTCCCAGAGTGCTGGGGATTACAGATATGAACCACCATACTCAGCCAATCACTGTGTTATCTAGAGATGGGTTATTTTTTTGTTTGGTTTTGGTTTTTTTTTTTGGAGACAGAGTCATACTGTCTCCCAGGCTGAAGTGCCATCTTGGCTCACTGCAACCTCTGCCTCCCGGGTTCAAGCAATTCTTCTCCCTCAGCCTCCTCAGTAGCTAGGACTGTTGGCACTCACCACCACACCCAGCTAATTTTTGTATTTTTAGTAGAGACGAGGTTTTACCTTGTTGGCCAGGCTGGTCTCGAACTCCTGACCGCAAGTGATCTGCCTGCCTCAGCTTCCCAAAGTGCTGGGCATGAGCCACTGAACCCAGCCTAGAGATGGGTTTTTATACTAGACCTGTTGGAGGAGCTTAGAATTTTTTTTTTTTTAAGACAGAGTTTCCCTCTTGTTGCCCAGGCTGGAGTGCAATGGTATGATCTTGGCTCACCGCAACCTCCGCCTTCTGGGTTCAAGCGATTCTCCTGCCTCAGCCTCCTGAGTAGGTGCAATTACAAACATGTGCCACCACACCCGGCTAATTTTGTACTTTTAGTAGAGACGGGGTTTCTCCATGTTGGTCAGGCTGGTGTAAAACTCCCGACCTCAGGTGAGCTGCCTGCCTCAGCCTCCCAAAGTGCTGAGGATTACAGGCGTGAACCACCATGCCTGGCCAAGCTTAGAATTTTATTTCTATTCTGACTTCATTACTTGTTGATATCTATACTCCTTGCCTTTCCCCAAGGCATTATTTTGCTTCTTTACTACATGTATATCCATCATATACATCTTACATGCTTACAATCTTAGTGTGCTTAAAATTTTTAGTTCTGGGCCGGGCACAGTGGCTCACGCCTATAATCCCAGCACTTTGGGAGGCCAAGACAGGTGGACCACAGGGTCAAAAGATTGAGACCATCCTGGTCAGCATGGTGAAACCCTGTCTCTACTAAAAATACAAAAATTAGCTGGGCATGGTGGCACATGCCTGTATTCCCAGCTCATTGGGAGGCTGAAGCAGGAGAATTGCTTGAACCTAGGAGACGGAGGTTGCGGTGAGCTGAGATCACGCCATTGCACTCCAGCCTGGGTAACAAGAGCAAAACGTCGTCTCAAAAAAAAAAAAAAATTTATTTTAGATCTGTCTTTTCTCACCATATAAACACTTTTCCGGCCAGGCACAGTGGCTTATGCCTGTAATCTAGCACTTTGGGAAATTGAAGCAGGTGGATCACCTGAGGTCAAAAGTTAGTGACCAGCCTGACCAACGTGGTTAAACCTTGTCTCTACGAAAAATACAAAAATTAACCAGGTGTGGTGGCTCATGCCTGTAGTCCCAGCTACTTGGGAAGCTGAGGCAGGAGAATTGCTTGTACCCAGGAGGTGGAGGTTGCAGTGAGCTGAGATTGCACCACTGCACTCCAGACTGGGCAACAAGTGAAATTCTGTCTTTAAAAAAAAAATTTTTTTTCTTGTTTCTGTTAAGTCTTCATACTTGTATATACCTCATTCTTGCTCTCCAAATATATACCACATCTAACACTGTGCTTTGAACATACATATACTTTTAAATGGCTGGATAAATGTTCTTTTCATTCACTTGCTAGAATATACTTAATTATTCCCCTATTGTTAGAATAGTACATCGCATTAGGTAAATGCTTAGTAAGCACTATAATGCATATAATTTATTTGGATTTACAGCTAATAATAAGAATGTTTTCTGAGCCTTCAGATGTTGAAAATTATCCTGGTACAGTGAGAATACAAAAAAGTTTAATAAATTTTAGAAAATCTGGATTAAACAAAAATGAAACAACCAAGTATAATTTTTGGCTGCTTTGTTTTATTTAGGTTCCAGTATTACAGATAGTTTCAGTGCCTGATGTGTATAATCTGGTATGTGTGGCTTTGGGAAATTTGGAAATCAGGGAGATCAGGTATGTAATTTTCAAGGGGTGATTTGTTTTTCCTTCATCTTTGTCTCTGTTAGCTGGCTTTGAGTTCAGGTAATAAACTAGGCTTGAATCTTGAAAGAATCTGAAAGATTTAAAGAGAGCTTTTTGAAAAAAACAAACAAACAAACAATAAAATGACATTCCTGACTGAAGTTTCTATTTAAAATGTGAATATAGGCCAGGTACAGTGGCTCACACCTATAATCCCAGCACTTTGGGAGGCTGAGGCATGTGGATCACCTGAGGTCAGAAGTTTGAGACAAGCCTGGCCAACACTGTGAAACTGTGTCTCTATTAACAATACAAATATTAGCTGGATGTGGTGGCAGGTGCCTGTAATCCCAGCTACTCAGGAGGCTGAGGTAGGAGAATTGCTTGAACCCAGGAAACAGAGGTTGCAGTGAGCCAAGATCGTGACACTACACTCTGCCTGGATGCAGAGTAAGACTTCATCTCAAAAAAAAAAAAAAAAAAGATTGTGAACCTAGTCCTTTAATATTAAAAGCTTACTCCTGATATCACCCCATTTTTCCTTATGTTTGGTTTAGGGCATTGCTTTGTTCCTCTGATGATGAAAGTGAAAAGCAAGTATTACTGAAGTCTGGAAATATAAAAGCTGTGCTTGGCCTGACAAAGAGGAGGCTAGTTAGTAGCAGTGGGACCCTTTCTGATCAACAAGTTGAAGTTATGACATTTGCAGAAGATGGAGGGTAAGAAAAGCATTGGTTGATTTTTAACTATTAGATGAAGGATTTTATCACAGGTTTCATAGAAAGTTGGGTAACTAGGATCTTGTTTTTCTGTCCTGTAGGTATAATATAGCATGTATGGCATCAACACTAGGTTAGGACAAAGAAGCAGGTTAGTGAGGGGGAAACCAAACATGACAGGGATGAAGTCAAAGAAGGGGAGAGGCTCAGCAAATGTAGTTTGCTTTTCAGTCTTCTTTGAAATCTCTTTGTGGCCCTTAGAAATACCTCTGCTGGGCACAGTGGCTCATGCCCATAATCCCAGCCCTTTGGGAGGCCAAGGCAGAAGTTTGAGTCCAGGACTTCAAGACCAGTTGGGGCCACATAGCGGAGCCCATCTTTACAAAAAAATTTAACTATTAGCTGAGTGTGGCAGAGCACGCCTCTGGTCCCAGCTACTAGGGAGTCTGAGATGGGAGGATCACTTGAACTCAGGAGTTCAAGGGTGCAATGAGCTGTGATCACACCACTGCACTCCACCTTGGGCAGCAGAGGGAGACCTAATCTTAAACACACACACATTTTTTAAAATACAGAAATACCTTGAGGTCCTAGACCCTTTCCTTGTTCCACACACATGGTGTCCATTACCTTATTGACCATCTTGGTGCTGGCTACTTGCAAACATACATTTTTACCTCTGAGCTCTTTCTTGAGCTCTAGACCCACAGGCCTATTTATTAGACATATTGGGAACACCTCAAATTCAAAATGTTGCAAACTGAACTCACAGCATCTTCTCTATCATATACTCATTACACTTCGTTTTTTTATTTTTATTTTTCAATTATACTTCATTGTTACTATTCATCTGTGTTTCCTAAAATGGAGGGCGGGTAACTTTGACTTATTTATTCATGATTTGTGGCAGTAATCTAGGCAAGAGATGATAATTGTTTACTTAAATTAGGAGTATGTTAGTGGAGATGAGAAGAAGCAGACAGATTTCTGAGAGATGAGATGATAAAGTTACTGGGACTTGGTAATTGACTAGATTGAGAGGAAGGGGAGAATATCAAGGTGGTAGATAGCATTGGTCACTTGAGTGGTGACCAAGCCCAAAACGTGGACATTATTCTTGTCTCCTTACTGCCAATCTAGGTGGTCACTTGAGTGGTGGCCAACCCTGAAACCTGGACATTAGATGATGGTGCAGTTCCATTGAGATAGTAATGCAGAAAGAAATGAAAGATTTAAAGAGAAAGTTAACAAGTTTAATTTTGAATATAAAGAATTTGAGGTGCTAGCAGGATATCTAAGTAGATAATATAAAAGTAATATATGTTCATTGTGGAAAGTTTAGTATACACGTTTTCTGGGTTTGATTTTTTTTTTCCTGATACCAGGTCAATTTATATTACGTATAGTTCAAAAATGTGGAGAAGGGCTGCGTAGAAACTGCTTTAGCACAAAGTATTGACTTTTTAATACTGTTTTCATTGCAGAAGCAAAGAAAACCAATTTTTGATGCCCCCTGCGGAGACTATTCTAACTTTTGCTGAGGTCCAAGGGATGCAAGAAGCTCTGCTTGGTACTACTGTTATGAACAACATTGTTATTTGGTAAGCTTTCCCTCTAAGTCCTCAGTTTCCTTATCTATAGTATGAGGATATGCCTCTAATTTTACATGGTGGTTGTGAAGATTAAATAAGAGAGTATGTATAAACATGATAGTGGTTTTTTGTTGCTATTGTTGTCTTTGATGTTTTTTTGAGGCAGAGTCTCCTCCTATCACCCAGGTGGGAAGTACAGGGCGTGATCTCGGCTCATCACAACCCCTGGCTCCTGGGTTCAAGTGATTCTCCTGCCTCAGACTCCCTAGTAGCTGGGACTACAGGCGTGTGCTACCACACACAGCTAATTTTTGCATTTTTTAGTAGAGATAGGGTTTCACCATGTTGGTCATGTTGGTCTTTAACTCCTGGCCTCAAGGAATCCACGCACCTCATTCTGCCAAAATGCTGGGATTACAAGAGAGAGCCACTATGCCCGGCTAAGTTTTGTATTTTTTAGTAGAAACAGGGTTTCGCCATATTGGCTAGGTTGGTCTCAAACTCCTGGCCTCAAGTGAACTGCCCACTTTGGCTTCCCAAATTGCTAGGATTACAGGTGTGAGCCACTGTGCCCGGTCTGATTGTGCTTTAACTGTCAGATACTATATACTTGTCTTACCAACAACATCATATTAATTGAAACATACCAAAAAAGATCAGTCTGAGTAGACTATTTAAATAGAATTCTATTTTCAAAGATGTACACTTCTTTCTGCTTTTGGTTAGTGGTTGAGTAGCTTGTTAGACCAACTTTATACCTTCGAATAACTTATGCACTCTGAACAAAATACAAAAAACTTTCTTTTTTTTTTTTCTTTTTTCTTTTTCTTATATTTATTTATCCATCCTGTAGGGGGAAAACTCTGCAAGTGCCGTGGCAAGGGTCTGAAGCCTCAGCCTGTTCTCATATAACAAAAAACAACTTTCTAAAGGAGCCAGGGAATAAGAAAAAGAAGAAACATACTGGAGGGGTTTCTCCCTTTAGGTGAAAGGAATGGCACTAGGCAACGTTCCTATTATGGCTTGAAGTTAGAGGCCAAGAACCACTCTGCCCACTGGGTGACAGAAAGCCTAACAGAAGATCTTCTGTCCCATTGGCTTAGAGAACCAAAGGACAGATTGGAGAGCAAAACAAAAGAACCCTAAATTCTGGCTATAATGTTTGCCTAAATATCTGGTTGACTGTTTAAACTGCATGTGCTTAGGTCAGACTCCAGGCAGCTGAGGTAAGACTGAAAGAACTGAACTTCGATTTTAGCATTTGGAGTTCGAGTTCAGCCAAGTTAATTGTTTACTAGGACAGATAATAAAACAACAACAAAAATCAAGGCCAGGTGCAGTGGCTCACACCTGTAATACTAGCACTATGGAAAGGGGAGGCAGGCAGATCACCTGAGGCCAGGAGTTCGAGACCAACCTGGCCAACATGGCCAAACCTTATCTCTACTAGAAATAGAAAAATTAGGCCGGGTGCAGTGGCTCAAGCCTGTAATCCCAGCACTTTGGGAGGCCAAGGCGGGTGGATTATGAGGTCAGGAGATCGAGACCATCCTGGTCAACATGGTGAAACCCCGTCTCTACTAAAAATACAAAAAAAATTAGCTGGGCGTTGTGGCGCGTGCCTGTAATCCCAGCTACTCAGGAGGCTGAGGCAGGAGAATTGCCTGAACCCAGGAGGCGGAGGTAGCGGTGAGCCGAGATTGCGCCATTGCACTCCAGCCTGGATAACGAGAGCGAAACTCCGTCTCAAAAAAAAAAAAAAAAAGAAATACAAAAATTAGCCAGGCATGGTGCCTGTAATCCCAGCTACTCAGGAGGCTGAGGCATGAGAATCACTTGAACCCAGGAGGCGGAGGTTGCAGTGAGTCAAGATTGTGCCACCGCATTCCAGCCTGGGTGACAGAGCAAGATTCTGTCTCAAAAATAATAAAAGTCAATAGGATTGTATTTTAAAAGTACTTACTACATTTGTCTGGCACATAGAAGGTATTCAGTAAATGTTAAAATTCCTTTTAAAAAATATTTTTGACCAGGTATGGTGGCTCATACCTGTAATCCCAGCACTTTGGGAGGCTGAGGTGGGTGGATCACAAGGTCAAGAGATCACGATTATCCCGGCCAACATGGTAAAACCGTCTCTGCTAAAAATACAAAAATTAGCTGGGTGTGGTGGCTCGGGCCTGTAGTCCCAGCTACTCGGAGAGGCTGAAGCAGGAGAATCACTTGAACCCAGAAGGCAGAGGTTACAGTGAGCCGAGATCGTGCCACTGCACTCCAGCCCAGCGACAGAGCAAGACTCCATCTCAATATATATATATATATATATATATATATATATATATATATATATTTTTTTTTTTTTTTTTTTAAAGAAAAAACAGTGTTTTTCAGAGGAACCTAACGGAATCTAGAGTTTTTGCAAGATACTCATATCACTGTAGCTAGGATAGGGTCCAAAGTTATCCAGTATACCAAAAAAAAGTGTGGTGTATCTACTAAAGATACGGAAATTAGCCAGGCATGGTGGCATAAGGCTGAGGCAGGAGAATTGCTCGAAACCAGGAGGCAGAGGTTGCAGTTAGCCAAGATCATGCCACTATACTCCAGCCTGAGTGACAGAGTGAGACTCTGTCTCAAAAAAAGAAAAAAAAAGTGATCACAGAACCAAATTAACACATTTGTGATAGAGAAACCATCACAGAAGTTCCCAGCCATCTCTTTTCTGACTACAGGGAGAACCATACCCAGCCACAGGCACTTGCAAGTTTAATTTGTGTTAGGAGAATAGATTGATTTTTTTTCTTTTCTTTTTTTTTTTTCTGATTCAGTTTAAAACTCTGCTGAATTCTTTTCTTTTCTTTTCTCCAAAGCCTTGTCTATTAACTGTTTCCTTGGGGCCAGAATGGGTCTTGGTAAGAGGAATTTATGAAATTAGTGTCACCACTACCCTAGCTCTTCTGTACCATCCAACTCTAACCTTTTATTTATTTTTTTTAAACACTATGGTGATGTACAGCCCTAACCTTTTAGGAATAAACTAGAAAAGCATGGCTCCTGAAATAAACGTTTTGCCCTTCCCACCAGAAAGCCTCTGAAATTTGACTATGTTCTGATCTGCTAGAAGACCCTGTTTTTACATGTCCTGATGTCTAGGGCAGCGCTTGGCCACTTGGAGCACTTTCACTAGGGTTTCTGCCCAGAGGTGTTATTTGAGGACAGTGTTCTTCCAGAAGTTGTGTTTTCTATTCTTTCTGCTCTTTTCATAATCCACATCTTCATTATTTGTCTCCTGAACTGTTAAAATAATCTAGTAGTTGGTCTCTTTGCCATTAATCAATATTCAACCTCCATATATTTTTTTAAAATCTTTTTAGAGACTATGTATTACTCTGTCACCCAAACTTGAGTGCAGTGGCATGACCATAGCTCTCTGCAAACTTGAATGCCTGGGCTCAAGAGCAGGTAATTTTATATTTGATTGCTTGGTAAATACTCTTCCTCCCAACCCTACCCTCACCCCTCAAAAGAAAATCTTTACAGGGACCCATGTTTGCTTTTCTTCAGCTTTTATTTCCCCAGTGCTCTAGTACAAAAATGTCTTCTCCAGCTAGGCCATTCTCCTTTGTTCCCTTTTTTCTTCCCATCCCCTCAGTTCCACCCTTTTTCTAATAGTCCTTTGGCATTTCGTATGTAAAAGGTCACAAAGGAATTTGAGGTTGGGGAGGGATTTCTTTCTGAGATAAAGTCTTACTCAGTGCCTAGGCTGGAGTGCATAGGCATGACCATAGCCGACTGTAACCTCAAATCCTGGGCTTAAGGAATCCTCCCACCTCAGCCTCCTGAGTAGCTAGAACTACAGACACACACCACCATGCCCTGTTAATTTTTAAATTTTTTGTACAGATGAGACCTTGGTATGTTACTTAGGCTGGTCTTGAACTCCTGGGCTCAAGCAATCCTTTCCTCCCACTTCAGCCTCCCAAAGTGCTGAGACTACAGGTGTACACCACCATGCCTGGCTAATTTTTATTTTTATTTTTCTTTGTAAAGACAGGATCTTGCTATTTTTCCCAGGCTGGTCTTGACATTTGGACTTAAGCAACCCTCCCACCTCAGCATCCTAAAGTGCTAGGAAGTTGGGGAGGATTTCTATACTTAGCTTCTAAGTTCCCCTTAGCAAATATTTTCAGCCCTTCTATTACCTTGAGTTCTGTTGTACCTTCACAGCCTTCACTGTTTCCTTCTCTGAATTCATATTGCCTTGCTTGCTTCTTTTGTTTGTTTGTTTTTGTTTTTTTGAGACAGGGTCTCAGTCTGTTGCCCAGGCTGGAGTACAGTGGCATGATTATGGCTCACTGAAGTCTCAACCTCAGGCTCAAGCAATCCTCCCACCTCAGCCTCCTGAGTAGCAGGACTACAGATGCGTGCCACCATGCCTGGCTAATTAAAAACAAAAAACTTTTTTTTTTTGTTTGAGATGGAGTTTCGCTCTTGTTACCCAGGCTGGAGTGCAATGGCGTGATCTTGGCTTACCGCAACCTCCGCCTCCTGGGTTCAAGCAATTCTCCCGCCTCAGCCTCCTGAGTAGCTGGGATTATAGGCACATGCACCATACCCAGCTAATTTTTGTATTTTTAGTAGAGACGGGGTTTCACCATGTTGACCAGGATGGTCTCGATCTCTTGACCTCGTGATCTGCCCGCCTCGGCCTCCCAAAGTGCTGGGATTTATAGGCTTGAGCCACCACGCCCGGCCTACAAAAAAGTTTTTAAAAAATTTTTTTGTAGAGACAGGGCTGTCCCATGTTGCCTAGGCTGGTCTCCAACTGCTCAATGCAAGTGATTCTCCCACCTTGGCCTCCCAAAGTGCTGGGATTATAGGCATAGCTGCCAAACCTGGCCTGCCTTGATTTTTATCTTCATATTTGTTGCTTTATGTTGTTTATCCTCTCTAGTTTTTGAAGATAGGTACCATGTCTCATATCTATTCTTGGTGCCTGCCTTAGCTCCATGTTTAGGGTAGTTACTCATTGATGTATTAATTATGTTGTCTATCAAAAGCTATTACTTACCTTGTGGGCTCTGTATAATTTTATACTTACATGTATTGTATGTTCCGATTTAACTCCTTATTTGTTAGATGTCTAAAGTGATTCATGTTATCCTCAAGCTTTTAAGTGGCTTTTTTTTTTTTGGAAACTGCTGAAGGTCTAAATATTTCATCTTGGTTAAGCTTAATGTTTATAATGAAGTCATATCAAAGAAACATGTTAAAACATTCTCAAACACTGAGGGGCCAATGTGTAAGGAAGTCCATTGGCCCCTCTTGCTGTCCATATTCACTGAGACATTGTATTCAATATCTTTCAAACATTCAGTAGATATCTGGGTCTCTCCTTATGTCCCATTCTCTGTGAGAGATGCAGAGATGAATCAGATATGAAACTTGGTCCCAGGGCCCCTATAATCTAGTAGATAAATAAGATGCCTTTACAATCAAAGCCTACAATTTCAACACAATTACGATTCACACGCAAGGGTGATAGAGATTTGGACAAGTGATTAGAGATTTGAGGAAACAATAATTACTAAATAGAGAGCATGTATGAAACTCTGTAGGATACCATCTGGTGTCCCTGATAGGAGGAAAACCTTGCATATACACATGGAAATTTAGTTTTCCTTCTTCAGTTTTTTTATACACAGTACCTGGCTCATAGAATTCTGTATTTGTTGAATGAATACATGATACACTATTGCCAGTAATATATTAAATGCCAAATGAGGTATATGGACAGAATTAAAGGAAGAGATGACTGGACTGCTATAGTCTAAAGTGAGTTCCTGTGGCTTGGAGGGGTAGTATATAACTAGGCCCTAAGAAATTGATGGGAATTGGTCAGTAACAGGGATGGGAACTGTTCTGTAATGGGCAGCAGGGAGTTGGGGAAGCAGGGGGCATTGGAAGGCATAGCTTGAACACAGTCTATAGTCAAGGAAATGCATAATTTGTTCTTCAGGCCGAAAGATTTCAGGAAATGAAGCAATAAGTAATGTAATATTGCACTACTGGATTTATGAGAATTATAAACACCACTAAAATGAAACTGGGGGCCAGGTGCAGTGGCTCACACCTGTAATCCCAACACTTTGGGAGGCTGAGGTGGGTGGATCACCTGAGGTCAGGAGTTTGAGACAGCTTGGCCGACGTGATGAAATGCTATCTCTACTAAAAATACAAAAATTAGCTGGATGTGGTGGCATGCACCTGTAATCCCAACTATTCCGGAGGCTGAGGCAGGAGAATTGTGCTTGAACCCAGAAGGCCGAGATCGTGCCATTGCACTCCAGCCTGGGCAAAACTCCGTCTCAAAAAAGAACTTAGACTTTATATTGTGGCTAATGGGAGCCAACTGAAAGGTTTTCATCAACAAAGTGTAACATGAACCAGGTGCAGTGCCTCACATCTGTAATCCCAGCACTTTGGGAGGCTTGAGGTGGACTGCTTGAACCCAGGAGTTCAAGACCAGCCCAGGCAACATAGTGAAACCCTGTCTCAACAAATAATTAAAAAATTATTCAGGCAAGGTGACACACACCTGTAGTCCCAACTACCTGGGGCAGTGAGGTGGGAGGATCACTTGAGTCCAGGATGTTGAGTCATGGTCATGCCACTGCACTCCAGCCTGGACAATGGAGCAACACCTTAGCTCCAAAAACAAAAAACAGCATATCATAACAGAGCAGTTATCAATGTCACAAATCCTCAGTAAAGCTGGGGAGCAGGTTGGGCACAGTGTCTCATGCCTGTAATCCCAGCACTTTGGGAGGCCAAGGCAGGAGGATCACCTGTGGTCAGGAGTTCAAGACCAGCCTGGCCAACCTGATGAAACCCCATCTGTACTAAAAATACAGAAATTAGCCAGGCATAGTGGTGGGTGCCTGTAATCCCAGCTACTCGGGAGACTGAGGTGGGAGAATCACTGGAATTGAGGAGGCAGAGATTGCAGTGTGCCAAGATGGTGCCACTGCACTCCAGCCTGGGCGACAGAGCAAGACTCTGTCTTAAAAAAAAAAAAAAAGCTGGGGAGTAATTCCAACAAACGTTATCTTTTTTTTTCTTCTTATATTCACCCCTCTCTCCCTACCCCATCTCAGTCCTTCCTTCTATCAGTTATTTTGGTCTAGCTGTAGTATAAATACATGTAATAGAGACATAATTATAAGTCTCTTTTAGGTATAGTCTCTTGCCCTACCAAATTTGTTTCCCTGGCCATTGTCGTCCTTGGAAAATTTAGAGGTAACAAGAAGTGTCACA